AGGAACAGTTTCACATGCGGAAATTCCCCTCAGCCATGATTCGCTGACACGGGCAAGCGGTAGGTCCGGTAGGTTATGCAGTTGTACCGACATCGTAATTAATCGTCACTGTTGGCGGCGCAGACCAAGGCTGCCTGAGGTCGGTGACAGCGTGCTTCACGAGTCCTTGGAGGCCTGCGCCCTGTGCTGGCAGTGATTTGCCGAGCCCTGCCTGCATGTTTGTATGCAGCCTGCATCGGATGTTAAGGACGGAGATGTAAGTCTGAGCTTGGGCGTGACCGTGGGCCCAGACGTGCGCATGCACCTCGGACAGCAGCCGAATAAACGTACATACTGCAACAGCCAGCACTTCTCGAATCAATCCGTCTGCAGGCAGCCACAGGGCGCTCCGCAACCGGAGCGGCATAGCTGCAGCAGGTTTTTGCCCGGCTAGCTTTACAGCCTTGCGTTACTGTCGAGAGATTTGTGAACAACGAGCACTTGCAATTGCCGGGCTGATCTTGTATCAGATGATATCAAATGTTGTGATTGCGTGACACGTCGGAAAATTGATGCATTCAGGACAACCTCGTCTCAACATCAATGGTTTCAAGCACTCTGGCATCCAATTTTTCAAAATAGCGTTGTAACAAGCAGTGTGGTGACCAAGGACCCTTTTGGCCTCCTATCATGGGTGGCTTCCATTTTTGTGGCCGAGGCAGATGCAGAACAGCTGCAGGGAAACTGCAAAAACCCTTTGCATGGTTTTGCAGCTGAAGGATGGCAGACCAGAAGCAGCATTCCTGCCAGTGCTACCCGGCCCATATGATTCTGTGCGGATCGGCCCTACATTGGCCCTACAGGCCATGTTTCACCCACTGAAGTCGTTTTGAGGCCACTTGTCTGTGAGTTCCTTCAAGAGCCTTGGCTTCAACCCGCAAAGTGCGAAAGTAGGCTGTTTCGTATTTGCAAATCCCGAGGTGCGAGAAATGATCGCATTTCTTCAAACATCGTCGCACCGCAGCACTGCTCAGGCCAGGCTGGATGCGGGATAGGCAGTCGGCCAATGAAGTGTTCTTGTGGCTTGCAGCCAGAGCCTGCTAGAGGCTGCTAGAGTAGTGCGCAGCGTGCAGTCACGTTCAGTCCTTGATATTATATTGCAGATTCTTTGAGAATGCAAAACTTGTTCTTTAAGTCCTGGAACCTTCGAACCAAAACGAAGTAGTTTCAAATCGAAGCCAGAAAAAGGAACTAGATCGGAACCTCTAGGTAGGGAGTAGCACCGAGCCAGTGCCGAGCGCGTTCATTGCAATTTACCTTTCCTGCGGGATCAGCGGGCACCACTTTTCGGCATTGTGGCCAGATCCTGCAAGGCCGTGGTGCAGCACATTCTCGAGAGCGCCAATTTCGACAGCCCGTTTGCAGTGGTTTTGGGCCGTCAAGCCTTCGACAGTGGTATCGAGGAGATGGGCATGGAAGCAATCAAAATCTTCCATTGCACCCTGCCCGCAGCTCTAGCGTCCACATCCCAAGTGTCAACGTGTTTGCGGTTTTGTTGTGAGGCCAGACATGGTGCTTGCAGCATCTCGATCACCTTGACGACGACAACACGTGCAGAATTGTGGACATGTTGCTGATGCACTGTCGCAGCATTGAGTTTGACGTTTGCCTCGCTGCACACAGTGCAATCTGGTCTTGCTGTGGTTCTCGCAGAGCGCGGCGCCTCATCGTCCAGCGTGTGGTGGATCTGATTCAGTGTGCTGACAACATGGAAAGCAAAAGGGCTTCTTTGCGGTACGTCCGCTGCATCTTCCAAGCTTTGGACAAGCAGGCTCTCAAAGAGGTGACGTTGCTGATGCTGGCCTGGTTCCTTTTCGAACAAGATGGCCTGGAGATGCAGCGTGATACCAAGTGTCTGCTGGAATTGCTTCTTGCAGCACCCGAGGGCCCAAGCGAAATGTGGCTAACTTTGAAATTGGACCTGGGCAAGCGATGCAACTCCGCAGTTTCTGAAACATTTTTTTTTTTGAGATGGGGGCGGAAAGGCTGAACCCCTCATCATTGATCATCGCGTTTGTCAGGATTCCAAGACCAGCCAAGGCAAGCTCAAAAGACAGCAGGGCGCAGACCGTGAGCAGTTGAGGTTGTATGAGGACCTTTTGGTTCTGTGCTCACGCGGCTGATGCTTCGAAAAGGCGCGCAGCCCTTTCAAGACACGTTCATCTTGTCTTTATTTCGCGCAGCGGACTGCCAAGCTGCTGGTGGTCTGTCGCAAGTAATTGAATCTGCACCTCTCTGGAGCATGTGTCTGTCAAGGGCGGGGTGAGGGGGGACCCTGGAGTGTCCTGGAGTGCTGCATGGCCCTGTAAGATGCATGTCCAGCAGCACCTGTATAACTTAACAACTGCAGCCGGAAATCCACACACTGGGCAACTTTGAAGTACATAAACATGTCGCGTAGATACCAAGCACGTGCCGTGCCCACACACAACATCGCCATCGCCAGCATCCACGTGACAAGCAGCTCCTGAGAAACCACATGCGCCCGCCCCCGACATTGGCTTTGGCTCACGCCCGCTTCTGTCCGTCGGAGGTTCCTAGGGAGACCTGTTGCTGCTTCCCCTGCAGCGACACCCCGTTCATTTCATTGCCTTTCATGACCACTTGCAAGGATCTACCGAAAATCGACGCAAAATTCACTCTGCCCGGCCCAATCGAGATTCTGACAAGTGCTCGTGTTCGCCATGGCTACTAGCAACACCATGATTTTCGAAGCTCCTGGAGCGCGGAACGTTGTGCATCTTGGCCCGCGTTAAGTCCGTGTGCCACACAAGACGCATGCAAACAATGGTGGGCAGGGAAAGGCGGGAATGTGTGTGGCTCAGGTGGACCCGTGGTGGCGATATAGACGTCGATGTGCGGGGACAGGATGCCCCCGACTTCGATGCGGTGGTGTTGAGCGCCAGCGAAGTCAAGGCCATGCGATTTGTGTAGCCCATTTGGGTTTGGAGATGATGCTCCCAGGTGACTTTTCATCGCGCGCTCCCCGGCTGCAGCCTAGCGCGCCTGCACCTTCGCCGCGCAGGCGAATCTGAAGAGGCCACAGCATGCTACGTACAAGTCGGGGGTCGAGTGTTCCGGGGACTGCTGATTCCCAGGTGCGAACACGGTGGCATAGATGTTTGGCTGTAGGTGGTGATCGGCTTGCTGGGTTTGGGCCCTCCTCCGCAGCAGGCGCCCATCCACTTCATTGATTTCATAGTGTTGTGTGGATGCCCGCATGTTCCCACAAGGACCAACAAGGCGCCGCCGCCAGCTGCAAAAACTGCAAGAACATGCCCGTGCAACTGCATGTAGTTTGGCCCTCAGTGCTCCGTTGTAGTTGCACGTTGCCTGCGTGAAGAGTGTATTGCGGTGCACAGGCCCGGCTTTGCCGATGGTCGATGGGGATTTCAGAAGAGCTCCTGCGTGCTGCAGTAGGTTTCTGTTGTTGGGTGTCAAGATGCAAGACAGTCTGTAAGATCTGTCTGTGGCATCACGTCAAACGGACGGGATCGGTGAAATCGGTGAAATGTGAGAAAAGACACGCATATCTCTTGCGCAAGAACAGCAGGCCGGTCCGAAGTGCCACCACGTGGTCACGGACCTGTTAATACCCATTCGCGGCGCATTCGTGTTCACTCGCTGCGTCGACTGGGCATGGGGATTTGGCTTCAATGGTATTTCTGGTATTCTGTGTTTGCAGCTTGACATCTAAGTTGTAAAGTGCCACCGGTTGCTGCTTTCAAGCATTGATGCCTCATGGGCGAGTGAAGCAGCCAGTACGTCTCAAGAAGTTCAGGCATGTTCACAGCAGAATTGCGCGCAACCATAGCATGCAGCGCTTGCAGCTGCCATCGACAAAGTCTGCTTGGCTCGTGCCTTGCACTCCACAACCGTTGCATGAGCTCCTCGTGGCCTACCCATAGTTGCGCTAGCATTGTCGACAGCCAGTGAGCCAGAACTCGTATCAGTCTGGTCTAGCCCAAAGCATGCAGTTTCGGTCCGACGCTGCCTTTCAGGCGGGCGCTCGATTGCACGAACACGAGGGGGCTCGGGTACATCCAGGGTGGGGATGGCGCTGCTACGCGCTGCTGCATGCTGCTGCTACAGCTGCTGCTGCTGCTGATGATGACGATGTTGATCCGTCCTGTGGCACAGACGGCTCTGATGGTGAGGATACCGCTGCTCGAGCAGCTCGTCAGACCCCGAGGGCATTTTTTGGGGCACGGTTGGATCGTCTGAGCATGTAGCGGCTTTCTGGGAAATTTTACTCAGGAGTCAAAGTAATGAACACATGTTGGTCACTACAGTTGCCATCCTATCCGTTGCATTTTCAGATGCAAGTGGCACGGCTTCTGGCGTTTTTTGCCGATGCACGAATCTTACTCTAGGCCGCATTTGCGGGGTCGTGGATCTGCCACACGTGGGCTTACTGGCTCAGGTGTTTCAAAAGCAGCAGAGACAGACTCGTTGAGCTTAGCGTGTCCCTTCTTTCTTGGTGCAGGTCTGCGCCGAGGCCGAGGCCCTTGGAGACTCGGGGCTTCCTGCTGTGCAGTGATCGACTTGGGGCTTTTGTTTCGCTTCCTCCTGGCTCACAGCTCTTAGCAGTCTTAGCATGTCCCCTGCACAGAAGTGCAGCCTCTCGGAGGCCGTTGCATGTGCCTCCAAGAACTGCAGTGAGCTTCGCCAGGTCTACGACCAGTGCCCTCAGAAAACAAGCTGAGTAGGGTAGGGGTTTAGTTTCCGCTTGGAGATGGAATGAAAGGGGCTTTCAGGAGTGTCTTTCAAGGAATCGACATCTTTGCTCGAAGGTGCTTCATCCACTGGTACCGGACGGGCTTCTTGGAGGGGAAGCTTGAGAGGTTCGAGGGCAGCGGTTGCGGGGACGCCTGGGAGAAGTACCGCGCCTGTGTGCTGTCGGAACTGCGGCTCCGGGGCCACGAGCGGATCGCTGAGTTGGAGTTCGACTCTTCGCATTGATGAAGCCGAGCTTTTTTAGCCAAACTCTGCCCTTGTGGATTCTGCGCGGTGTGACTGCGGCAGACATCCTGGAGCAGTGGATCCACCCACTGGAACGAGAGCCCTTCTTCAACGATGCCCCTGGACATCGACTCGAGAACTTAATTGATATTTGCCATCACTTCATGTTATACAGTTAATATCATATCAATGCATAAAATGGACTGATCCTTGAGCTCCACACCTGTCCAGGGGGGGGTTCAAAGTTTAGGGCCAGACCTGAGGTCTTCGAAAGGACCTGGGCGCACTTCCCCCACCCGGAGCCTTTGGTGCCGATCACCTTGGACCACGTGGTCGAGTGGATCCGAAGCCAAGGCAGTTCTCAGGAGGTCCTGGAGCTCCTGAGGCACCCGGTGACCCAGAAGTCCTTTCGCCCCTCTCCGACGGCTACCAGCAGCCTTCAACAGGTCTCCGAGGCCTTCATGCAAGGCTTTTCCATGGTCATCAACTCTTTGCACAAGTGGTCGGAACCCGGGGCTCGCCTGGCGAAGCAACTTTATGCTGCCGCCTACCTTCCCGTGGACGTCTACATGTACCTCACCCCTCCCCACTCACGCAGCTACGGCCTTCACTCCGACGCCGCCTGCTCTATACTGGTAGCTACCTATAGTACAGCTAGGACAGCTAGGGCTCTGCAGCTGGGTCACGGTGTGTAGGTGAGGGAGCGTCCCATGCCTGAGGTGATGGACGCCTTCATGGTGCAGCTGTCAGGCGATGTTTCTCGAGCCTCCGTAAGGGGGCTTGACGGGGTTTGGCACGCTCAGAGTAGAACTTCAGGAGTTCCCCGCGGCAACAGCTGCCCCAGGTCGCAAAGAGTGGACGGTCTGCGACGTTCCCAGCTGGATGGCTCCGCGGCAGCCGCCCGACAAAATCCTGAAGAACTTCAATGTTTCGTGTTCCAATGTCACTTTGCAAGGCGGTGATGTCATGTACCTTCCTTTCGGCACCTTACATCAAGCGAGCACCGACTCGGACTTCTCCATGCACTTGACGGTGAACTTGGAACGGCAGTTTTATGTCTGGCAGGCCATATTCCTTGCAATGATCCACAAGGCCCTGCAGCCAGGCCTGCGCATCAAGAAGTTCGCCTTCGGCAAGGACTTCCAGCCAGACGACGACGAGCTTCCTCTGGTTGCTCTTCTTTCACAGCTCACGGCCTCCGTCCCTGAGATGGCCCGGGTGCCGGGCTTCAGCATTTCGGGCACTTCCGAAGTGAAGCTCTTGACGTCTCTCTGCAACCAGGACTTGCCGGAGGAGTACCTTCCGCTTCTGACGGCGGAGTTCCGGGATCTGACCACCCGCCTTGAGACGGCGGCTTCCAAGAGCAAGAAGCACCAGAGCGTGAAGGTACGGGGGAAAGCCGTGTCGATCCTCGAGACCTTGAAAAAGCTGAAGGAGGAGGAGGCTCATCTCTTGTGGGCCCTGGATCTCGCCCGGTTTCATTCCATGAAGCACAACTCGGTGATGGCCGAGGCGAACCCGCTGCTCTCTCTGTCGAAGGCCCGCTCCAAGGATCCCCAGGCCTTCCTCGGCCTCCCACTGTCCCAGTTCCCCCAGAAGGCCCTGCAGGGCCCTGAGGGGAGCCCTCGATTAATGCGGGCCCCGCAGCTGCGGGCGGTGCTCCTTTCCGAGGAGAACGCCACGAAGCTCTGGGTGAACCAGGAGGCCTTTCAGCTGCACCCAGAGGAGATCCCAGCCGCGCTCTTCTGCTTGGGGCTCTTTGCCCCTGAGAACACCTCCAGCCTGGGCCGACCCTTCCGCTTGGAAGACGTGCCCACCCCGGCCACGGCTCTCCTCCCGAAGCTCATCGGCCTCGGCGCCCTGCTCTTGATCTAAGTTTCGAGAGGAGCCGACAGAGGCAAAGGGTGTCAATGTCCCGTACTGCCGTGCTGGAAGACAAGAGCGCGCGCGCCGCCAACACATCCTTCAGCAGCTGGTTATCGCCGGCTCCAATGCGCACCCGCGCCTATCTTTTTGAGGTGTTGAGGGGAAGCAGACGGTCCGAAACAGGAGATCTCCAGCGAATGGTTTCCAAACCTTGAAACGCCTCACTGCCCTTCGTCTTCCTCTTGCGAGATCTGGAGGAGGCCTCTCGTGGTCAGACAAGGGCCCACCTGCGCTTCGTCAGCCTTTCGGCATGCCTGCAAAAGGAGTCGAAAGCGAGTTGCCTCACAACCAGCAGGATTCGGCACCGATTCGGTGGTTCAGGGTTTTGCCTGGGGGCCTTGGGGCTTTGATACGTGACTGCCTATGTTTGTGTGTGTGTGTGTGTCAAGGAATGTACAGTAGTATTAGTAACAGCAAAGCGGCGTAAAGCAACACCATGCGAGAGATGCAATGCACACTATCCACAAGTCATGATCGCCAGGACCCCCGAAAGGTTGTCATGGTCACCATCAGCATCATGTCATTGCCATCACCACCCCCCCATGATCGTGTCAATGTGCACAATGCTACAAGCTACAAGCACATACGGATGTTGTCTAGCCTTTTGATTGCAGAAGTTCACAATGTCACATATACTACACGCATATCTAGACAGTATGATATTCTTTAGCTTGACATAGTTATTTGTATTCGCACTGTTACTGCAATGCATTGCATTGACTTCTTGTGGCAGGTGCACCGCCATGTCTTCGAGTGTGTTTGATTGAGATGCTGCGGGACGAGGACAGCATGCACTCTTTCGCCCGGAACAGCACAACGGAGCATTCTCGCCAAGAGGCTGCGCTCACTCAGACGGGACGCTGATCAGAAGCCCGTGGAAGTGCTCGGTGAGGCCCTCGGACCTCTAGCGACTCTAGTGCTTCAAGTGGCCGGCAGTGAGTGTTGCAAGAAGACACGGACCACCGGGGCGATGCAAGATGGCCCAAAGAAATGCAGGTACCAACACATTGCCTCCCAAAACTTGTTTCGAAATGAGACGAGCAAAACAAAGCAAGCCTGAACATGAAAAACTTCATTCAGGTCTCCGGTGAACAATTCCCAGAAAGCTCAATACTCCGAGGTGTACGGCATCGAGGGTTTATGCAGCCGAGCCTGGCAAGCCATGTCGGCAACGCCACGACCTGGCCACATGCAACTCGGCAAGAGAGCTTTCAGGAACTTTATCGGAAGGACTGTCGCCTCGCGGCCTCGCGGCCGAGTCTGAGGCGTACCTTGCCTGCTGCAGCGCATGGTCAGGCCCGGAACTGCTTTTTGTCCGCAGACCGACATCACATCCACCGCGAAGGTTACTTTTACTAGGAACATAAACGAGTGCAGTGATGATGTTTTTGACACACGAAGGTAGTGGTGACCAGGATGACAAGCATGACAGGTGTTGATTCTCGTCGACAGCATGATACGAGCTGCCAATAGTTCAGTAGCAGTGGCAGTCGTGCGAGCTTGAGGGGGGAATGATAGACCAAGTGGGATATGACGACATACGGCCATGGTGGCGATCGCTGATGACAGCAATTATAACCTTCCCACCTCCAAGGCACTCTTAAGCTCTTGTCTCCATGGTCGCTACAGTGTCTGCCAGGCAACACGTGCTGGAAGTCCTGCAGCGGATGCTGCTGCGAAGACCTGGACTTCGCCTACTTGCGCCGCGTGCTGATGAGCCACGCGCATGCACTGGACAGCGCATCTTGGGAACAAAAGCCGGGCGAGACAAATATGAGCTGCCGAGCCGGTGCAGGACCGCCTGCCGAAGCCTGAGAGGCTGAAGCGTGGAGCTTGGCTCATGCCTGAGGCGTGCTTGGCGGAATCATGTCTGCTCCGTGGTGGCTGGGCTTCTGACTACGGGAGGTCTACGTTGCCGGCTTCCACGCCACACACCACTGCATCGACAGCACCGAAGGCTGGATAAACTCAAAGGACGGGTGCAAACAACACAGCTCGTGTGTCCCTAGTGCATCGAAGGCCCAGTGCAAGAGATCGGTGCTACTTCAGTGATCCTTATGATGCCCTGGCCCATGAGCACGCAGCTACTGGTAGCATCTATGCCGTAGACGCCATACTTGTACCTACTGGTCAAAACCGGTCAAAGCAGGTGATTCTTGCATGTCACGCAGCCACGAAGCGGGCAAACTCAGCAATACCGTGAGAAGTACCTTCTCGCCGGTTCTGTCAAACATCGCCATGGTCCAGGCCCCTGCGACTGCGGCAGGGCCGTTGCAGTAGTAATTATCAGTTCCTCGTAGCCTGGCCAAAGATGCCGGAGCCTGAGCGGCGCTCAGTGGCCTCGTGAAGTCGCTGTCCCAAATGATGACGGGCGTGCGGTGAGGTCAGCTTGCATCTGCTTCGGCGCAGGATCCTCTGCAGGGCCTGTAGCTTTGCAGGTGTGTATCGGAGGAACTTTGACCCTGGACATCTGACATCCTCTCGTCGGAGCATTCGTTCATGAGCCAGACATGAGCCTAAACGTGGGCAAGCCTTTTCTTGGTGCCTGCAGACTTTAGCACCAGACATTCGTATACCTCATGCCTACGGACTCGCTCCACCTACACCTTTGCAAGGTGCATGCCTGCAAGCACAGCACATGCTCACATGTAGTATCATGTGGTCACGTACACGTAGACAGACTTGCAGCGAGCTCGGCGGATGCAACTGTGGCACACCCCAGCCTATGGAGGAGAAGTGGATGCTGGCTGGCTGCCAGGACGCGGGCTCCGCTCTTCCTTCCAGGCGCTGCAAGCATTCAACAGTCCAAGGAAGTCCGGTGCCCTTTTGTGGCTGCAGGAATCCGCGGCCCCGGCCCCGGGCCGCTTCGATGCTCAAGACGCTGACTGGGAAGCCTTCGGAATGCCCAACTATTCCAAGCTCTTGGGGAAGGCCGGGCGCTCAGTGCCCAGCTGGAGCTCCAGATGATCTCCGTTTACAGTGCTTTGGAGCAAGTGGCAGGATCTTCTGCTGGGCCAGCATCACGTGCAGAACCATGGAGGCCTCGGCTGTGCATGTGGCCAGCAGCGAGTACTGTAGCCTGCGCCCAGGGGCGGAGCACTGCAGCCGCGACTTCCACGAGTTCTGCTGCTCGGGAGCAGATCCCATTTCGGCTCCTGGCACTTGGGAAGTCTTCGAGCCCTGAGGCAAACAAGGCTACGATTACGTCTGCGATACGACGGAGCCGACGCTCCATTGGAGCAAGGCGCGCAGGGCCCAGTTCAGCAGGAGAAGTCTCCTTGAGCCCAGCTCTGAAGGACTGCGGCGTGATGTACTACCTTTCACCTGCTGCGGGCACGGGCTGGCACACCTACAAGTGCCCCAGTGTTGCAAAATTGATTTGGAGCTTCACTGGAAAGTGGACTTCACTTCTGCAGCTGCATGAGGTACCTTCTGGGACAACCGCCAGCAGATTGCCGCTCGGTGAAAAGTCCCTTCCGAGTCTGATACGTCTCTCTAGTGCTGTGTGTCCAGGCAAGCCGGGGGAGCATTGCGACGCTTGCGCCGACCCCCATGGCAAGGTCAGTTTCCCACAGCATGCAGCCGAACCGAACGAGTGCTGAGCGCGGTGGAAGCAGGTGGTATGCACCGTCAAGCTTCACGGCGGCGACTGCAAGGCTCGGGGGGACACGGAGATGCCACGGAACTTGCGTTCCTTCTCCGTAAGGAGGATCTTTCAGTTGCTTCGACAGCCGGCACGTCCGCCATGTCGGGTGCAGACCTTGACAAACTGTGCCTCAGCTGCGCCCGGATGAAGCAAGCACATATTCGTCCTTGAATCCCGTTGCTTGACACCCGTCTAAAACCGGTGATCCACCTCGAGCTGAGGAGCAAGACCATCTCCTTCCTCTGACTTCCTCCCGGGGGCGACAAAACTCGCGCCCGTCCAAGCAGTCCGAGACGCAACGAGAGCCGGCCTCGTGGAGATCGTGCAGAGCCGCGCCGAGCCCAGACGGCCTTGGGTCGCGACGGGCCCGCCTGGTCTCAGACTTCATGGGCAGCCTTCTGCAAAAAAAGCTGCGCTGTGCTGCTATCTGCTATCGGAAGTTCACTCGGAGAGCCGCAGCGCAGCAGCAGTGCGCAGCAGCGGTATACTTAGCGGTTCTGCAGCTCCAGGATCCTCTGGGAATGCTCACGCTGCGTCTGGCCTACCTCGCCCTTGGGCGGCACGGGGCGGGGGGGGGGGGGCAGGATGGCCATCACAAGAAGTGAGAGAATATGGAATACTGCATAAGGAGCAATGTACATGTATACGAGCACAAGTTTACTTTTCCTACATTGACTTATGAACACATTGTATGTATATGTATAAAATATGTAACAGTGCACAACAAACGGCTCCGGAGTGGGTGTTGGTCTGTTGGGCCCAGGATTCGGAGGCAATCTGGAAGGAGGAGCAGCAGGAGCCACCATGCAGGGCTTAGGGGTTGGTTTAGGGTTTTTCGGGTTGTTTTGGTGATTTTCGGGCTGAGGGTACAGTTTTTCCGAGACTTCAGCGGCCCCGAAGAACTACAAGACATTCCTAAAGCCTCGCAGGGAAGGAGACGTCCTAATCCTCATAAGCTAGAGCACGCATCGGAAAGGCCAAGTTGAAGAGAGCCTGCTCCTCCTTCGTTTGGAATCGCAGGAGCCAGTGGACTGGAGAGACCTCGTGTTGGCACAGGAGGGTTCTCAGCCTTTCAGCACAGACCTGTCACTGCTTGCAGGGTTATTCAGTAGTCTTATTGGTGTACTTTACACATCATGCTGATAGTATGCTGATGCCTGGTTGCAATTGTCGTCATGTCACTTGTGTCCATCATGCATTTCCACACTACCCTTGTCAAACGGTCTTCCAGGAGACCTGGGGCATAATGCAGCTGGCCTTGACGCCCGGCAGCAGGTAGCACGAGGATTGCTCAAGCAAAAGCCGTCCAAGCGGATTGCGTGTTGAGGTTACGGTAGGACCTAGCGAATTGGAAGTAAACGTATAACGTGTTTCAGTTGCTTTGAACATGTCTCTTTGTCATCACGGTGATGATGTCGAAACAGCCATTGGGTTATTTTTTTGCAGGATTGCGACAACGCTGGGCGATTTATCTCGAAGTGGTTGGCCCCTGCTGCTCCTTACGAAGGCCACGGCTCGTGCTGTTGCGCAAGCCCTGATTTTGCCTTCCTCCACAGTGTTCCTCACCGTCCCGGAGGCCTTCTACCACTTCTTCATTGCTCCAGGCACGGTGCTGGAGGCAGGTTCCGGCCCTGGTTACCCTGAATCAAACCCTAAACCCTAAACTCTACTGGGTGTTCGGTGGTGCTTCTGAAAACACCTCTCTTTCCACAACGTAGATTATCCGAGTTCGTGAAGGCAAGGGTAGAAAAGGGGCTTTCAAAGAACCCTAAGAACCCTAAAAAACCCAAAACCCCAAAACCCCAAAGCCTAAATAAAACCCGTGCTCTGGAAAGGGAGCCAGGGCCCGAAGGAGAGCGCCGGCCTCGGAGACTCCAAAGCTCTCCGAAGCGAAGTGGGAGCTTCCGACAATAAGGGGGACCCCTAATTAATATGGGTGGTTGTCAAAATTAGGGTCCTTTTTCGGGTACCCCAAATATTAGGTGCCGTACTCTATTAGGGACCCCAAAAGGGACCCTAGTTTTGACAACCACCCATACAGCACACTACATTGCCTGAATAGTCGGATCCTTATTACAAGGACTCCAAAGTAAGGTACCCTAGTTCCCAAGTGGCTCGCGCCACGAGGCTCTACCGGCTCCTGGTTTTGCGCCCCGACGGAGCGGACATTCCCAGCGCGCAGCGCCAAAGAGGCCTATTTGGCGTTCACGGGATCGAAACCCAGAGGGTGCAGATGCAGATGTTGCCTGAAGGGACTGCATACAATTATGACATACGGGAGCCCTTGTATGGAGAGCCCTGCCACAAGTCTGCCAGTGCTGAGCGCCGCGGCCGCGAGCACCCTCGGGTCGCCTTTGGCGCGGTCAGTGGCGGCCGTGGCCTTGGTACCGAGCTCGGCTGCAGGGGCGGGGGGGAGCCGTTTCAGCTCCGTTTCAGCTTTGTTTGCACGGTTTCAGCGTCTGAGGCAGAGCTGCAACATGGCGACGAAGACCGGCCATCTTGCCAGCAGAGGGCCGAGGGAAGTCACGGCGCAGCATGGGATTTTTCAAAGTGTTGCTCTCGGCCTTGTCTCTGGGATGGGAGCCTGTGAGGCAAAATGCCTTGACGAAGGAGCTGTCGCAAGCTGCGGCAGACATCCTGGGCGAGGCCGCTCCGTTTCCACTCCAGTGGAAGACCAGGGGTTGGGGTCGGTTTTGGGATAGAAGTTTTGAAGGTGCCGAAGATCCACCACCTGACCTTTGGCGTTTTTCCCGCCGGTGCCACAGGACGTCACGAAATGCCCATAGCATCCCACAGAAATCAAAACCCATCAAGGCACCCGTTTCTGCAGCAGCTGCTTTGAGGTGCTTCAAACACTGGAGCACCTACTGACACCGACAATGGCAGAGGCGCTTGGGTAGGCATGCAGCCTCGCCATGGTATCTACCTGCTCATAATGTTTCGTTCATCGAGCCATTTCGAGCGCCTTGCATGCTTGAGTCCAGCATTCTGACACCGGTGCGCCAGGTGGATGGCGTGAAGCTTTGCACCCCGCCACTTTGGAAAGGGGGCCTGCCAGCTGCGACTGCCGCAAGGAGAGGGGCAAAATCGGCAACTCAAAGTTTGCCGCAGTTCGCACGCTTGGCATCGGCTGGTGTTTCTGGAGGATCCATGGGAGCCTCTCAGCCGCAAGGAAGCGCTGCGAGCACGTCCCAGCAGAGAGGGTTGCATGAGGTGGGGAGTCTGGCTGCAAGGACCTTCAGGCCCTTCGCGTCCCTTCGAGAAGCGAAGCCAAGCCTCGGAGTCCCACGAGGCGCTCGTGGCCGAGACCGGCGCCCGATGTCTCGTGGATGTGGGGGCGATGTGCGGGGCCCAAAGGGCAGTTTAGGGCTGCCTGATCACCTGATCCTGTCCTTGTGGCCAGGTTCGGGGCCTGCGTGGCTCCCGTGGCCAAGAATTTCCCTGAGGCCCCGAACCAAGACACAAGATCACCCAGCTTGTTATCATAATGTCACTGCAGTGTCCTCACTGGTAGGTCCGGGTGGTGGCCTATGAAGCCCAGGCTTCGGGCCTCCATTTGCTGCGAAGGCGACGTCGAATCCCAGGCCCGAGTGGGTGGCGTCGGCATCATATGTTTTTGTGGAAGGACGGCTCAGCTGAACCAGCTTCAGATCGAGGTCGAGAACTTGGGATCGATGCGCGCCCTTTGTGCTGGCCTCTGGGCCAAATGAGGCCAGGACCATGTGCCTGCAGCAAGCCTCCCAGCCCTGCGGCTGCGAGGCCACTGCTCCCATAGCTCTGCGCGTCCCATCTCTTTGACTTCGGACTCACCATACGTGTGTATGTATTCAGTGAGGGACGAGAAATAAAACGATGATAAAGCGGCGGCGACGTCCTCCGTAGCTCGGAGCTCCGAGGGGTTCAGCTCGGAATCGCAGGCCTGCGGCACCCTGGAGGCCGAGCATCCCTTCGACTGCGAGGCCTCCAAGCGCGTCACGAAGTTTCCGCGAATGAGGGGTCCCCTTCTCTGGGGGTCCTTAATCATACAAATCCTATTACATCTAGGGTACTATTAGGGTCCCCCACAATGATGATCCGACGATATCTAGTCTAGGGTACTATACTTATTTCAGGGTCCACTATTAGCAGTGGGTTTTGCTTTTTCTGTCGAATCTCGGCTGGTAGGGGCCCCACCTGCTTTGGATGAGCGGCGCATTGCATGGATCTTGAAGGCCCGGAGCGTCACCAGGAAAGCGAAGGGGACCGGGACCCTCTTTGTGCCCTCAAACAGGGGTATATGGTCCCAAAGAATCCCTCTGCTTTTCAGGGTGGCTGTCGCCACTTCCGCGCCGGCGCCATCGAGATCGTGGCAGCCTGGGACTGAGAATTCTGCGCACCGAAGCGCATGTTCTAAGTAGTTTATCGGCGCGAGATCGGTGCCCGATGTCTCGTGGATGTGGGGGCGATGTGCGGGGCCCGAAATGTTCAGCCAAAGCAAGCGGCAGAAGGGCTGCTTGATCCTCTCGTTGTGGGTCTGCGTGGCTCTTGGGGGCAAGAGTTTAAAAGACTTCAAAATTTTGAGTCTAATTTGAATCTGCACCCGGGCCAAGTTCAACATCGACACAGAAGTCTCAACGCAGCAGCCGTGACTGGCCACAGTACTGACACAGTCGCATCAGTCGCATCAGATCCCTTTCTGGTGGCCTTCTAGTTAAGCCGCTTCTCCTACGTGTAGCAGGCGTAGCGGTGTTTGCATTGGATCCCACGACCGTTGTTTCCGTTGATCCTTCGTATATGAATCGGCCAGCCCAAAGTGGTGTTTGATCGTTCACCTTTGGTTTTGAACCCTACAACCCCCCTCTGTCCGCACCCGGCCTCATTCGAGACGGGCTTGTCAGGTCCGCAACGCCATAGGGTCGCAATGACCATCGCGGCTCTTCTCAGAGCAGTTTGGACACCTGTGCGAGCCTTGGTCTGCCTTACGGGCGTCGTACGTGTTGCAACTCCCGCGGTCGAACGTGCTGGCTTTGAAACGATCGTTGCCATCATTGCTGGCAGCCCTGGCGTGAGCCTTCATTTCTGAGCCATTTCTGCACCCAGGAAGCAGGCATAGAAGAGCGTGGTAGCCCCTACGGAGATCAGGGTTCGCGAGCATGAAGGTTTGCTTGGCCGCGGCTCTTGCTGCCGCCTTGGCGGCGACGGCGATGGCCCAGGACTCTCCCGCTGAGCTTCTTCGTGAGCTGCAGGCGCAGCGGTCGTTGCTGGAAGAGCAGCGAAAGGAGCTGAAGAAGATGACCGAAACTCAGGAGAGTTTTGCTGGTGCCATGGATTCGGCTTGGCTGGTCCTCTGTGGCGCGCTGGTCATGTTTATGCATGCCGGATTTGCTATGTTGGAGACTGGCTGCTGCCGTGCCAAGAATGCCTCGAACGTCCTGATGAAAAATCTCGTCAATGTGTCTTTGTCATAGTTGGGTAACACTTCACATTTTTAATGGGTACCTAAGCCCAACGAGAAACAGAAACTTGAATTGCTATTAGTCTCCCAAAAATGAACTAGGTGTCAGTTGGCACATTGGGTTGGTGGATCTTTGGCTGGGCCTTTGCCTATGGCTCCCAAGCCGGGGGCTTCATTGGCACCGATGGCTTCTTCGGCCTCGGTTTCTACCACAAGGATGCAGCCGGCAACATTGTGCCTGTGGAATGTGAGGAGGGGACCCTATTTTTCTTGACCCTTTTTTTTTTCCTTTGCCCTTTTTTTTTTTGTTCCTTTGGGGGCCTCGGTTAAAGGCGGTCGTTCTCCATGCGTTTGCTTTGCGCTCCGCTTTCTGCCGCTTGCTGCTTTCTTTGCTTGTTGCTTTGTTGTGATTGTTGCTTTTGCTTTCTGTTGTTTTTGTTCTGGAGAAAAACACAACAAGGGCAAAGGAAAATTCTACACCCATGCGAGGACGGGAACTGCCAGTCCACCATGCTGAGCTGGTTCTTCCAATGGGCCTTCTGCACTGCCGGCAACATCCTCAGTTGAAGCACGTCCTTGCAGCGAGTCTGTCTTTCTACGTACATGTTGCACGTTACATTGCTGCATGTTGGCTCTGAGTGGCTTGCAATACTGTTTTTTCTTGCATGCAGGCGCCACCATCGTGAGCGGATGCGTGGCAGAGCGTGTGAAGAGCCCCACCTATGCTGTGTTCGCGTTCTGCATGACTTCTTTCATTTACCCCATCATCGTCGCTTGGACCTGGGGCGGCGGCTGGCTCGCCAGCATCTTCGGTGTGGGATACATGGACTTCGCAGGCTCCCTACATGCGCTTTATCCCGAGTGTGTGCGTCCAGCAGGCTCTCTGTAAGTCGATCTTGGAAAGCGTTCGGGTTTTGAAGGCTACCGCTTAGCATTGCAGGATCCGGCGTCGTTCACTTCACCGGAGGCGTCTGCGGCCTTGCTGGCACGACCATCCTCGGCCCCCGAAAGGGACGCTTCGAGAATCCCGAGGAGTTCGAGATGCACAATGTCCCACTGCGACCTGCCGGCGCTTGCTGTTCAAAGTCCTAAATATTGATGATGCAACATATACACATGTAGTATAACAGTAACATATATCTGTATATATAGCAGTGTACGACCTAACCTGAATCTAGTTGGATTCAGTATGCTGCATGCTGTCAGAAGAATGACACCCAAGGGTCGTGCTCGGAACCTTCGCGCTTTGGTTCGGCTGGTATGGCTTCAACCCAGGCTCCACCCTCTCGATGCATGATAAGGAGATGGGTGCCCTCGCGGCACAGGTTGGGTGGCGGTATTTATTGCTTATTTTATTTCCGTTTTGTTTCTTATGTTTTTTCCGTTTTCCTCGTGGCAAGCAAGCAAGCCAGCAAGCAAGCAGAGCAAGCAAGCGACCCAGCAAGCGCAAGCAAGCAAACGTGCAAGCAAGCAAGCAAACAAGTAGGCAAGCAAGAAAGGAATCAAGGATGGAATCGTTGCAGCCTCCTGTTACTACTACCTACTACCTACATCTACCTACTACCTACCACCTACCACCTACCACCTACCACCTACCACCTACCACCTACCACCTACCACCTACCGCCTACGGCCTACTGCCTACTGCCTACTGCCTACTGCCTACTGCCTACTACCTACTACCTACTACCCACTACTACCTACTGGTGCTGTCCACTTTCCTCTTTTACGCAGGTGGCCATGAACACCACTCTCTCTGCCGCCACCTGCGGCATCACCGTGTTCTTGCTGAAGTTCGTGATCGTGCGCAAGTACGATGTCGGCGCGCTTTGTAACGGCATCCTTTCCGGCTTGGTGTCCATCACTGCGGGGTGCGGGAACATGGAGTGCGGCAGTGCTGTGCTCACCGGCTTCATTGGCGCTTTCTTCTACATGGCAGCATCCATGCTCCTTGTGAGACTGAAGATCGACGACCCCGTGGATGCCAGCCCGGTGCACGGAGCCTGCGGCATTTGGGGGCTTCTCGCAGCTGCGCTCTTCGATTGGGGGAAGGGCTTCGACCACTACCACGGCTGGAGCGGGTTCAGCTGCATGGCCGGTGACGATGGTGAGTGCATGAGGCATATTGGCGGCACCGCCGTTGGAGCGCAGATTGTGATGATTCTGGCCATCATCGCATGGGCTGGGACGCTGTCCACGCTTTCCTTCCTGGCCCTGAAGTTTTCGGGGCTTCTTCGCATTGGCGAGCACATTGAGAAGGTCGGCTACGACATGCACAAGCACTCTCCTTCGAAGGCCTATGCCTTCAATGCCTATGGCGGCTATACCAAAGAATCATCGAGTGAGGCTTCGGGTTCAGAGGGTTCAGAGTGAGTGCCTCCAACCCATCTGGAAGACCAGCGTTTTCGCAGACTCCCGATGCTTTTGATCGAGTCTCGGTGAGTCAGTGACATGGGCTCACGGCCCTGTAGGGTGCACAGAGCTGGCAACATTTTCCAGACCAGATCTGTCCACAGCAGCCCTCCCACTGCAAACGCCATGGGCCGGGTTGGGACAGCTCGTGATTTTGGCAGTGCAAGAGTTATTTGGAGGATGGTCCGTGCGCAGGGCTTGACTCCTCGAGATCTGGGCATGCAAGGCGCTCGTCTTGCTTGCGTTTAAGCATCGCGGACCGCTTGTTTCTGCAACGCAGTTGGCGAGACGTGCCGCATTCAAGTCTAGGGTTTGAATGATGACAAGGACCTCCGCGTCTGTGAGAGGCGTGAGAGAGCCTTGAGCACATTCGAAGCCAGTCGGCTCCTCTTGACGCCGAGCTGTTAAGCACAGCCTTGTCTTGGAAAGATGTGCACGCGGCCAATTCAAAACAGGCCGCGCGCTTGCGCGCGTAAGTGGTTCGAAGCTGGGCTTCCAGACGCGGGTGAACTTGACCCCCAAGCGAGGCGGACAATGCGCAATGCCTGCCTTGGCTCTCGGTCCGGAACTCAGGGAAGATCTGGTTTAGGAGAGTTCTAGTATACAGATCGTCTCAGTGTGGGCAGCTTGGAGTGCCGCAGATCGCCGTGAACTCCGCTTTCTGCGCCTGAAGCAGAATGGCTGGGCGTCTTTTCGTGCTTGTGCGCTCATGGCTCCTGCCTAGGCTTGGACCGCTTCAGGACTGGGCTTGCTATGCAGAGCGGCGTGCCGCAAGATGACGAGCTGATGCCGCTGCTACGGCTCGATCTAGCTCTGAAGTGCAAGTTGGAGGGCTGTCTATCCCAGCATCGCAGCAAGCAGCATGGGACTTTGCTTGTCCCGACAGGAGGGACCACTGTACCAAGAATACAAGGCATGTCTTCCATCCATGCAGGGGAAGGTGGTTGCCATCACAGGCTGCACATCCGGCACTGGCCTCGTGTTTGCAAGGACCCTTGCACAAACAGGAGCTGAGGTCATCATGCTGAACAGGTCTTCAAAAAGAGCTGACGATGCCTTGAAGGACGTGCAAGCTTTGACGTCGCAGGTGACTTTCATTGAGTGTGACCTCATGAGTTTTGCAAGCGTAAGGAAGGCAGCAGCTGAGCTGAACCAGAGGTTGGCATCCAAAGGCCTTGATGTTCTTTGCAACAATGCAGGGGTTTCAACCCAACCGGATCACGCCACGGTGGATGGCTATGATCCCCAAATGCAGACCAACCATCTGTCACACTTCCTCTTGACGCAGAAAGTATGGCCTCTACTTCTGAAGGCGGCGGATCTTCGAGGGGAATCTCGAGTGGTGAACCATAGCAGTGGCTATCGCCACGCACACAAACAGCCCTTCGACCTGAAGTACTATGGAAAGAACGGCGGTCAGCTCGGAGGTGACGACGAAAGCTTTATGGAGACGATCACCTTTCATCCGCCCGGACTTGAACGTTACTGCCACTCCAAGCTCGCCAACCTCATCTTCACCTATGCACTCGATGACCGGATTCGCCAGAAGGGTCTTAAGGTCAAGGCCCTTTGTGCCAACCCAGGCTTCACCGCCACTCGCCTAGTCGCGAACTCCGAGCGTTTGAGCTCCTGGTCGGATTTCATGGCCCGGCTCGCGCAGTCCGAGGAGGACGGCACTCTGGGCATCTTGCGATGCTCCTGCGATCCGAGTGCCCAGTCCGGCGACTTCTTCAGCCCCGCTGGCGGTGCTTTCGCGACTCTTGGTCCATGAAACCTGCATAGCTGCTATAGCTGCTAGTCACTTCTCGTATGAATAAACACGACATGTATAGCTATGTATCTATCCTTCTGTTTATAGATGCTTCTTGTGCCCAGGACCGGTCCAGCAGTTGTTCTGGATCGCGAAGATGACATCATCACGCAGGAGATGCGCGAGCAGGTTTGGAGAGCAAGTGAGGAGGCAGCCGGTGAGCGATTCGATCCTTGAAAGCCGGGATCGGATCGGATCTTTAAGTTTTAGATGTTTCAACGTCCTCCCTCGGTCTCTCTCGTAGTCCGTGCCGCGTGGGCCTTCGAAACAAGCCTGCATCTGTATCTGCAAGCTTTGTCCACACCTGTAACTTGGACGGATGGATTGACGGATGGATGGATGGGTGGATGGGAGGATGGACAGACGGAAGGAAGTGAGGTAGGAAGGCAGCAATGACGGAATGGATGCATGAAAGAAAGTGTAATGGGATGAAATGGAGTGAAGCGAATGCAATTGAATGAAATGAGATACACTTAAGCTAATGAGTTTGCATATAATGGGTTGGTGAGTGAGCGAGTGAGTGAATGAGCGAGAGAGCGCATGTTGGGCCAGCGGGCGGGCAGAATTGAAGGGGGATGGTGCCCCGGCAAGCATATAAGGTCCAATAAAGAGCGAGCTCCACATAAGTTGCAGACCGCTGTTAATTTATACCCCATGAGTTCTGGCACCATTGCTGCAACGCCCTGTCAAGGAGGCCGACCACAGCTGATGTGAAGTGAGACCCAGGATTGCCCTACCGGTCGAAAAGCTTCGCACGCCAAGCTCTGATTTAGCTCTCCGGGGCCCTGTGCAGAACAAAGCTCTTTCGCATAGTGATATGTGTGGCTCAAGTTGAAGCTCATGTGTGATACTACAAGAAGATTCCGTTTGAAGGGCTGAAGCCGAAAGATGCCGTTCATGCCATCGGCTGTTTTCGCCACAGTCTTCACAGACTTCTAGCCCGAAGCATACATAGGACGCAGCTCCTTTGGTGCTGCTCCCGGGTGTGAAGGATCCTGCGGGGCGCGTCGAGAGCTTGGAGGCCCAAGCTACCAAACCTTCAGCGCGAAACCTCAGTAAACCTACTGCCTACTTGTTTGAAATTTTTGTAAGGAAACCATGAGGAACCCGGATCTTGTGGGTTTCTCGGGCATCGTCAAAAAACCATTGCAGCCCCAACCCCCAAACACCTCATGTTGGGGGTCCCCGAGGTGACTGCATGGCGAGCTGCAGTTTTCCGGCGGGCCCAACCCCAAATCTCAACTGTGATGTAGACCTCCGTCCCTCGCAGGGACGATAACGGGGATCCTATTATCATGGCCCTGAAAGAAAAATGATGTACCCGTCAGGGTCCGTCAGGAGTCCACAGTCTACATAATTGTTGCAGTCTTTATTGCCTTGCTCCATAGAAAGTTGAACAGTCTCTTGTCCAAATGCAAGCGCGCGACTCTTGCAATTCCCCACAACCAAATCCCAAAAGGGGTCCCACATGGTACCCCATTTGAGGCCCCGCTCAAAAGCTTCTTCGAGGACACTCCCTGAAATGGGCCAACAGAAGAAAAGTTGTCTATGCAGCCTCAAACCTTGTTTTGTCCCTCTAATGAGCTATTCCTGCTATGCGCCATGTCTGTGCTTGCGATCACAGTTTCCAGGTATGACAGAACAAGAGCCACAGGAACGTCATGGGTTGCTGGCATCGGAGCCCCGGCAAAGCGCTGAAGTTTTGGGAGGCCCCTCTTCGGGAGTTTTGGGTTTCAGGCTTGTTTAGGGGTTAGGGTCTAGGGTCCTCAGGGAACACATCGTGATCATAAGTCTTGGTGGAAAGCGTCCTGCAAGGTGCCCTGGTTTCCTGGAACACATTCTGGGTGGTCGTGTTTCCCTTGCTCATCGCAGGCGTGGTCGTCCCGTGGTTTCTTGGCCAACGGATCATTTCGGAAGTCGTCGTTGGCCTCATTGTCCTCTACTTGATGATCGAGGGCATCATCCTCGTGTGTTTCCCCCGCGCCTTCCAGCTCTGGGCGCTCCAGCGGCCCTGGAACTTCCTCGTTCGACTCCTCTTGCCGCCAATTGAGATCTTGGATTCGATCGGGGCCGGCGGCACCGACTTGTCCATGTTCACGTATCGCCAGTGGGGCGAGAATTTGTGTGCCAGTGGACAAGTCTGGCTGGGGAGTCATGCCGTGGTCGCGAAGGCCTTGACAAGTCCCCAGGCCAGGAGTCACTGGCTGGGCGAACACCCGCTTCTTCGGAGCGCCTTGCCGGAAGGCGACACGGGCCGCTGTGTTTTCCTCTTGAGCCTCTCCGGCAAGGCTGCCGGGGGCACGGGTGACCACGAGGCCTTCCGCAAGTGCCTGATCGACACCTTGTTCAATGACGCCTCCGTGAGAAGGGAGACGGATGATCTGTCACAGTCCTACATCGAGCAGGCTGCGGAGGATTTCGTGAAGATGACTTCCTACAACTTCTATCATGCATCCGATGGTGGCAACACCAGCTTCTGGATCAAGTACTTGCACCACGTGATCTTTGGCATGGACGTCCGAAATCCTCAGGAAGTGACGGCACTCTACTCCTTCCTCTTTGGCAGCATGGCCCTGACGCACTACCTCGAACCCTTCGGTCGCCTACCTTGCATCTCACAGCATAAGACCATCGACGAGGTGGCCGAGCTCTACGAGAAGTCCCCGGCGTTTGCCAACTTCAAGGTGGGCTCAAACAGAAGCCGTAGTGCTGTAAAGCGCAGAGTCTTAGTTGTGGTTCAATTAGAGGGTCCGACGGCCGTCAGTAAAGAACCGACGACTTTGTCTTGTGAAACAGTAGATTTTTCTTTCTCCTGCTTCAATCACCTCTGTTCGGACAGCCTTCCGGCGTGCAGTACGTTAACTGGTTGAAGGGCCATTCGAAGGCTTCTTCATAGTACTCGTAGGCTGATGTAGGGTTTAACTACAGGGTGTTCATAGTGCAATACTGTCCGGCATTGTCGGTTCCAATAGAGGAATAGGGATCCGAGTGTTTTTTGACGTAAATCGTAAGTCCCTCTTGTCTACCAGCGCTCCAGCGTTACCATCATACCTCGCAAGAAGTGAGGTCAAGCCAGAGTACAACAACATGACTGCCAGAGAGCTTGCTGTTCTCATGACCGCGATCATGCGCATCGCCGGCATCCAGGGCTCTCGCATGTTGATGTGGCTCTGCACCTCCGGAGATAAGCATGGGAATCTCCAGACCGACGTCCGCCCGATATGGGACTCGCTCAACTTGGACGATGATGATGAGCTCGAGAGATTCGTCCTCGAAGTCTCCAGACTCTCCCCTCCCGTGACAATCTCCCACCGAATTGCCCAAGAGGACTTCTCCTGCGAGATCAAGGGCAAGAGCTACAACTTCCCCAAGGGAACCAACGTGGCCATCCCGATTGTGTATGCCAACATTGACGAGGCAGCTTGGGGTCCCGATGTTTGGGAGTTCAATCACAACCGCCCCGGCCTCAAAGAGAAGCAGGTGAGCTTCAACTCCGTGAACGGCGTGGGCGATCGCGAATGTCCTGGCAAAGGCTTGGTGCTGAGGAGTATGATTCGCCTGCTTCGGGTCATCGGCAAGAAGAGAAGGCAGCAAACCGCGGCTCAGAATGTGTGAGCTACTTCAGCTAATTGTACCTTTCTGGTCGTCTTGAAGCGTCATGAGCCTTGGCTGGGCGGATGTACGGGTGACATAGTGTGAGATGTGTTCGATATCCATCTGTGGCACCAGCTCCACAGATCGATTCGTGTCGCTACAGTGCCAGTGCCCGACTTCAAAACCTTGTAAGTCTTGGAAATTCTGGGATTCTTGAGCTGCCCCCTCTTGGAACCCAGATCAGGAATCTGTCACACTCACGTACCTTTGTTTCATGTTGTTTCTAGGCAGCATACGAATCCTTCCTTCTCTGCGAAATCGTCAAAAAGGGCGTTTCCGCCTAGGTGGCACCACCTTGCGACTGCACTGTGGCCTGTAGTCCGCATTTTAAGCCTCCACCAGCACTGCGCCCTGGTGCGACGAAAACAAGTGCAGGCACCATTAGGCTCAGGTGCTCTTGCTTTGCTTCAAGCGATCTACTTCGAGCTCCTGCAATTGGTGACCCGAAGTTCCGACACCTTCCTTCAGCCTTTTCAATGTCCCAAAGCGCAGAAGCCGCAACACTAGTCACTAGTTTTGCCTAGTGCCAAATTTCAAGCTTTCATAACTTGATTGTACCGTCTGAACAAAACAATTCGGATGCCAAGAAAACAGAACGCGGAAGGGAGGCTGACTTGTGCTGGGAACCCTAGGAGCAACTTTTCAATTCGACATGGAGGAAGTGGTTTTGCGCCGGTGCCCATCATGACATCCGAGACCAGCGCTTGACGACAGGCTTCCGGCCCAAAGCAAAGGCGGGCGCATCAGACGACAAGAGGATACAGTAGAATGTCGGCATGTTTACTGAAGACCCACAACGTTTTTCCAGCTGAGCCGTTGTTTTCGTGCTGCCATGGCTCCCATCGAAGCAGCCGCGGAAGGCCGGATGCAGCATGGTGCGGATTTGGTGGGACAACTGCTGACCGCTGGCAAAGATGTTGTTGCCTCAAACAGGAGAGCGTGCTGTGTTGCCAACACAGCGTGAATTTGGGCTGGTAGCAGGCCTTTTCATCTTTACCATTGTGGGAAGCCACCAGTCTCGCGTAGTGGGCCAGGTAAAATCATCCCGAGGCCCCCAACACCTGGGACCCGATCCCCTGACTTTGAAAGACGACCCAACCAAAGCCGGGCCGAAGCCCCTGCCTCCCGCGGTCAGGCGAGCTTGAGAAGCTGGTCGATGAGGTGCACACGCGAATGCATTTAGGAGTCTGTGAGATTTCTCTTTGAAGCGTTCCTGACTGGGTGTCCTTGCTTTTGAGGCTTGCAAACCACTAACAGAATCCAGACCCAGACCATTGTGAGTGTTTGCAGAAGTTCTTTTCAGAAAAAGCCGCGACTGATGCCACACACGTACAGCTTCGAAGTTTGCACGTGCAGGATGCGAGTTGCATCGCCATGAAGCCAGCAGGGCTCTCAGCCCATGTGGAGCCCTGTGTGCAAGGGCATGAAGTTCGATATCCACTTCCCGGAACCCCGAGCTTGGACGGCTTGCAGGTGGCCCTGCGCCAGGATGAGAGCATCTCCAGCAAGTTCCTGGGTCATTTGGACGTTGGACGTCGCTGCAAGGCCGAGTTCGTACTTCACGGACGCGCTCGGGGGTCATGAACACCCATGCGCGTCTCTTCCGCCAGGTTCTCCGGACATCCGCTCCAAAGACGGGCGAACGGCGGCGTGCCCTGGTCACTGAGGACTCCGGTCGCCAAGGCAAGTCTTCGACCTTCCGCGGTATAAAATCAAAGGTTGCTAACATGTGTTATTCATGCCAGCACAGAGCCGGCTGCTCGAAGGCTGGATTACTATTGTCGACAGCAGGGGCGAGCCCTGCCTGGCACCGGCCAGTGCAGCAAGCACCTCAGTCGAGTGTCATGCCACGACAAGTCCTGGGCCGGACGTCGCTTTTCCACACTTCGGGCAGACGGTTCCAAGCGGTGCAACTGCAGCGGCGTATCCCGGCGTGCAGGTCTCGAAGCCCTCTCTGCTGTCGCAGGCAGCTCGCTTTTGTGAGGGTTTGTCTCGACACTGGTAACCAGTGACCAACTCTGTCATGTCTCTTTCGGTACCGAACCAGGCACGACGGCGGAATCAATGCTACCACCCCATCATCATGAACAGCATCAGCAGCGTCACCATCAGCATCAGCGTCATCATCGCCGTCGTAATCCTCTTCGTCACCTTGGTTACCGCGACTGCCGCTACTGTGTCATCACAGTTGTCCTCACTATTTCGTGATCCATGAGAGTGTATCAGAGTATGATCACCGCCACTCCCACGATGGTGATGATGATGATGATGACGATGATAACGATGATGATCATGATCATACCACATTCATCATCATATCACCATTCAATGCGCATCGTCAGGGTCATCACCATCGCCATCCTCTTCATATGCAGCATCTGCGGCGCACGCATCGCCGGCATCGGCGCTCCATCTTTCTCGTCACATTACTCTGGCTATTACGATCCTCACCACCGGAGCTAGCTTCAGCAAGTTTGATCCGGATTCCAGTTCGCAGACTGGCGACGTGAAATCCAAACTCCGAATCACTGAATACTAGTACCACCAAACCCAATCCTGTTGCATCCCAACTTTGCCTGGCCCTTCTCCGCCTGGCTTCGTGGCTGCAGGTCGCCGTGGGCTCACAGCTCGAAGTGCCGAAACCTCAAAGTTGGGGTGTGCTGTCGGCTGGGCATTTTGAAGCAGAGACGTGCGGGCGGGAAATCGAGTCAAGAGTGCGATGACCGCACGGCTCATGCTTCCTGCTACCAGCACTGCTGAGGCTGTGCATGCTCATCGTGCGTGCCGGGGAGGCTCTCAGCAGCCCTGGCCTCACGTCACCGCTTTCCCGGATTCACGGGGTGGAAGGTCTTGTGTGGGGGTGGAGCAGGTGCTGTTGCTGGGATTGAAGTGCTGAGCACAGCAGCCTGGCCGGCCCTGTGCAATCTAAGTTGGCAGTTTCGGTTCGCGGTGCGTCCTGCATCCGAGGTCCCTTCCTGGACACGCTCCTGCCACACAGCAGGCCGATTGCACGACATGCCTGAAAGAGGGACAGACGTGTTCATAAGAGTTCCATGGAGGTTTGGGAGGGTGTGAACAGCTTGCCAGAGCTAGGAAGATTCGGAAGAAGACTTTGCATGGGATCGCTTATGACCGGCCATTTGTGAGTCGCGGGGGATCGGAGCACTTAAGCACAGCTTCGAGAATACAGGCGTCCCGCAATGCTGCCGCAACGGGACCAAGCAGAGAGCAAGTCCCAGTCATGGTCAGTGTGTTTCCCTGGAGGATCAAAGTGTTGGAATTGGCACCGGAGCCGTTTTCTCAGATGTGAGCAGCGAGTAGATGGTTCGAAGTTCCGGTGCCGATTCTGAGGGATGATGGTACTAGTACGGTAGGGTGTGGCTTTTCCCGGTTCTCAGATCTGCCCTATGCCTATACCCGAACCCATACCAGTCACCATACCATGCCCTTGCTCGCCTTGATGCGGCCGAGGTCCGCCTCGCAGCAGAGGCACAACTTCCAGAGTTGGCGAGAGCGCATGCGATCGCACGCTGTGCCGACTCTTCTTCTGTGAGGAGGGCCCTCGTGTCGACCGTCTCTGTGGAGCCGGCACCCCGAGACGTTCAGACCCAGACCTGCAGAACAGAGCGGATAATGCGTCGAGGCCCAACGAGGAGCACATCCAGGGCTGGGCCGCAACCTATGGGCCTTGTGGAGCTGCAGCGTTGTGTTGTACTCCTTCGGTTCTCGCGCGTGGCCCAGGTCAGCCTCTGCAGCTCCACCGGGGCCCTTCTAGTCAGGCTGGATGGTTTCTGAGCACCCGAAAGGAGGGATTTTTACGCCTGCGCTACCGTCAAGAGCTGCTTTTTTCACAAACGCAGGCCCCGGGCCCCACGCCACTCGTAGTCCGAGGAGTGTCTGAGAGAGCCTTCCCCTTTCAGGCTCGCTGCCGGCGCCACCAAGCTCCCGAAGGCGATGAAGGCTTCCGCCCACGAGGCTCAGCAAGTCGGAGGCTGTTGCCTTTTTGCCTTTGTTGGCCACCCTGTTACTGCCAGGGCAAGGAGGAAAGCGCTGATGCGAACACGCGCGTGCAGATGGTCCTGCCGCCGCTGTTCTCACCCTGCCCGGCTAAATCGTGTGACCCTGAAACTACACACCCGCACCAGGGAAGCGTTTAGGAGCCAGCTGACGTGTCCCCGTTGCTGTCGCGCCAGGTCACGAAGCTGCTCGAGTTGGCGAGGACGGCGACAGAGCTGTCTATTCCGATCATTAGTAGAATCACCCACTCTTCGGAGAGGTCGGGAGATCTGGAGGCCTTCAAGACCATCGCCGAGGCAGGCAGAGCGTGAAAAGCTGAGAAAAGGCGGGACCGCAAGCGAGCCTTTCGTCTGAGGCTGGGGTCCTGGAGCCAGGCGCCAGAATCAAAAGCCCGGCACAAGCACAAGAGAGTCGCTGTCCTTGCTCTCGGGGTGCCAGGCACAGATCGCTCGGCCCTCTCTCCGGTGTCCCCAACGAGGCACAGAGACCCTGCTAAAATACAAAAGACACGATGTGCCAGAAGCGAGGGTTTAGAGCTTGTCGATTCAGAGACAGAACAGAGAGAGGCGGAGTTGGAGCGGGACGAAAACACCGCTTCACCATTCTGCCAAGGCACACGAAGACGCTCATCAACCGCAGCGACATCCGCGGCCGCACAGCGTTGATGTACGCATCAGCCATCGGCAGTCGAGACATTGCTGGGGCGCCCGGCGAAGCCATGCACAGCAAGATCGAGCTATGCAGAAATCAGTTCGAGCGGCTCAACAGCTCCCATGCAAATCTATCTAGACGAAGCCCGTGCAAGGTCGACTACCTCTTAAGCAAGGGGGAGGCCTTCACGCCAGCATTGTAGCCTGCGCAGAGCCGCAGCGTCTGCTGGTGGAGGTGTACGTGAATGCAGTGGACGATACGCAGAAAACTGCTCTCCACCACGCAGTGAAGAGCTCGAAGGACAGGCACAGCAGCCACCGTGCATAGCTGCCTGGAAGACGGGTCACAGGCAGAGATCTCGCGCCTGCTACTGCGTGCTGGCGCCATGATCGATGCACGCGACCACAACGGATGCACGGCCTGAGCCCAAGCACGAAGCCCGAGAAGATGATGAAGATCCGTAGCCCCAGCCTCAACCTTGGTTCAGGCTCTGATGCTTGCCGCCGGAACTGGCGATGTAGACGGTGTCCAGGCAGGACAGCGGTGTAGCACTGCAGAGGGCTTCGCCTTGGATTGGATGATCGGATGGTGAGTGGGAGCAGCATGCTGGCTTCGTGTCAACTCCTTAATTGAGTTTCGGTTACCAGAGCGCGGAACCGTATTATTTACATTTGCCTGCTATGATTTTTTAATGCTATATAGTGCCTAATATACATTGCATTCATAAGTTGCATTCCCTAGCAAGAACCCAGCATGAGTAGGGCAGCGTCTGGAGATCTTGCCTCCCCGCAATCTGCAGTCTTCAGTTGGGAGTGCGCTCAAATTGGAGCCCACGGTACCTTTGTCCAGCATCTATAGGAGTCTGGCTGAGCTTGCTCCACAGTTGAAATTCGAGTCGTCGAAGTCAGATGGCGGTTGCAAGCACCTGTCGTACCTTTCTGTGAGTTCCGGAGCTTGTTCTTGCCCTTGTGGTATCCCTGTGCATGCCTGTGTATGTGCAAATTTTGCAATACAATATGCATATACCATGTACGTGGATGTTCCAGATAAAAGCCAGCCCCTCATCAGAAGTAGGCCTTCGCAGACCCCGGTCATTCTGCTCGGTTTCTTTCAGTGTTGCAGGTCCTCCTGGAGAAGGGGGCCAATGCGAATGCGCGGGACTACCTGGTGCAGCTGCTTGTTTTGGATTGTGACGGCTCTCTTTCCGACAACCAAGCTGAGCCGTATGTTGGAGCATTCGTTGGTGTTTCTTGTATTGGTGGCAGGGGAACAGCGCGCTGTCCTACGCACAGGACTTCAACCACCAGGAGGCCCATGCACACATAGTTACATATACATACATATTGTGTAGATGTATACATGGAGCACATGTATGTGTGTGTATACATAACATATACACATGTACTTACATGCATATATATATATATGTGTGTGTATATATATAATTATACACGCAGGTATGCGTTCGTCGCGCGTTGTGGAGCTGGGTTTGCCCTGCGACAGGTCATGGACAAGCTCATCCAGGCAGGACGCTGTAGATAGGCCCCCAAAGTAGTTCCTTTTTAGGAATACCTTATAGGATTCTAAATATGAACCCCCCAAAAGGAACTACTTTGGGGCTTATGGCTATGGATCGGAGGTTCGAAAGCCAGACCCTTGAGGCCATGTTTGGATGGTTTGGACTGGGGAGTGACTGTACAACAATGACCCCCTACGATGGGGGCCTAAATACTTAGCAGTACTATGTTGGGGGTTCCTTAGCAGAATTCTAGCATAAGAGGCCCCAAGACCCTATTCTAATTATTCAGGCCCCTATATTATACAACCCTACTATAGATCCCTGAAAGAACCCCTTTAAAGGGCAGGGAACCCTATTCTAACTCTTATGAAGGCCCCTACATATTACAGGGTGTTTGAAGCTCTCTTTGCTTCGAGTTCTGCCAGGCGGGGGCCGAAGACGACGAGGTGCGAATGTGGAGCCTGCGAAGGGTTCGAATCGGAGATTGAAGTCTAAGTGCCCACCATTCGTGCGGTCTGCGTATGGGCTTTGCTACTATAATGATTACTGGTTAAATCGTTGTCTTGTATCCTCGTTGCGATCGTATCATCACCGCTCTTGTCGATATCATGGTGAGCACCGCGTGTTTCTTCCACATTGCCTTTGCCACCGCTACCGGCAGGAAGAGGAGGACTCCGCCGTGCCCTCATCGGCCTCGCGGCATGTGCTGTCTCTGTGCTGACTCTCGTGTGCTCAGCCGTCTAGTTTAGATGCTTCCCAAAGCCTATATGGTAGGGTCCATCACCAAAGCAAGTCGTTCCCAGGTGGTGAAGAGCCGCAAGAAGCGAGTGAGGCCCCTGCTTCAAGATCTGCCCCCGACAAGTATGTTCGCGATTTTAGGCGCGGATTTCTTGGAACAGTTCGCAAGCCCTGGCAGGGCTGAGACTGTGAACCAGGAGGATCTAGTCCACGACTCAGCTTTGCAACTTGAGGGCATCATGGCACCTCTGTTTTGCAGCAGTGTGCTTGACTGGGTATATCATGGGATCAGGAAAAAGCAGCTGCGTTGGCGGTGCTGGACGATGATGACGGCCTTTCAGAGGAGGACGTGGCTGTGCCGTGCGTGGCATGCCCATCTTCGCAAAGTTTTGAAGATGCCAGCCTTGTGATTCAAGGATTCTTCGTTCGTTTCGGGATCTATTTGATAAGAGCCCAAGCGATGCATATGATGCGAGTCTTTGGGCCGGAAGCATCAAGGGAGCCCTTCTCACACAACACTTTCCTCTGCATCTGTCTGCATGTCTCCGTGTAGTAGGATATCGTGTCTCGGGCCTAGGGGCGTTTTTCATTTCCGCATGAACAGAGGAGCAGCGCCGCGCGGGTGCACATGAGCGCCTCAAGGAGGTCCTGGTCCTCGCCCCAGAACTCGGAGTGTCCGAAATGTAGGGGTACCCTGTTTTGGGCTTACATGAAGGATCCTACTATTTAGGGTGCTATATTAGGGTCCCCTATTTTCGGAAACTCCCAACTCGTGACAGTCTCGTTGCGCCCACCATGCTTCCAGTTGGAATCAGATGCAGCAGAGTTGCAGCACGCACACTTTGTCCAGTTGAAATCAGATGCAGTGGATAGTTTTCGGCACAATTCCGTCGTGCCCACGATGCTTGCAAACACATCAGATGTGCAACGACTTTGCTGGTATTCAGCGTGACCGTTTCCCTGTGCCCACGAAGTTTCCAATCAACGCAGATGCAACAGATTTTTGGGCGTGGCATGTTCGTGATGTTCAGTGATGTTCAATGTATATGTGAGCTATTCCACGAATGCCACATGCATCAAAAGTCGTGGGAGCGTCCAATGTATATGCGTTAGTCATACGTGAGCTACTCGGCAATTGCACGAGCTCGTGAGGACTTTCTGGACAACATGCATAATCGTGCGGCCGTCCAAATGTGTCTGTGAGGTATTCCACACTTACCACATGCATCAAAAGCTCGCTTGCGCATGTTGGACACCATACATGGCATGGCGGATCATGGCGGTCGCGGCGGCGTCCACATGTACGAGCGGTTCCGCGCGTGCCACACACGCATCCAAAGTTCGTTTTGGACATTTTGCACGCCATGCATTTTGTTAAGGTTGGACATACGGCGAAAAGCGAGTCATGCATGAATGAATTGATGGTCACGTGTCACTCGCACTTGAGCTTTGGGCGGGGGTGTCCTCTGATTATCCGTCACTTGCTACAAGGAGGGGACAGCGCTGACTCGAGATCTGGAGGCCATCGGCTTCTCTCTCCAGAGTCGCAGGGATTTTTCCTATCCGCGGAGGCTGCCTTGGAGGAGGCAACGCAGGCCCTGGCACCGCGCCCAGCTCTTCCGCCGCGTTTGTCCTGATGCGAGTCTACTCGCACTTGCGAGGTCGAAGATGAGTCTCTGCTGTCCACGGCCAGATCTCGATTGCAAGATCTGAAGGACCTGACATTGCTGTTACTGGTAGCATGCGGCCCGAATCTCGGCGCCCAAACTTGCTTGCGCGACGCTTTGGACGGCAAGGATCGGGACGATGCAAGCGACCACCTCATGGCAGCTGTGGAAGAGCCGGGCTCTACAGACAGAAGACAGTGGAGCATCTTCTCCATTTTTAAGAGCAGGCGTTTGCCATGCAGCTCCCGAGGGCCCGTCAGGGCTGCCGCGGCCCTGAGAACCTTCAAACTTTGCAGGAGGCACCTGCCGCCTGCTTCAGCTGCTTCAATCCTTTTCCTGCTTGGCCAACTTTGCCGTCTCGTCTGCAGGCGCTCGAAAAGGCCAAGGCGAAAGGCGCTCGGAATGGGAAACAGTATTAATTCCTGTGTAGATATCCGGTGCTCTTCAGGCGTCGCTGAGAAGGAGCTGCAGCACGGCGAGCAGGCACTGGCGCCTCTTTGCCCTTCTCGCCGAGCTTCTGTTTTCATCTTCCTGCCGCAGGTCTTGGCTGAGGAGATGCCCCGTGCACAGGCCGAGTAGGGACAGCAGTTTCGCAAGACATGTCGGTGCCGGTTTGTTCCATGCGTCATCGAGCTTCCCTCGTGTCCTCCTCATTGCAGAGAGGCTCGGCAGCAGCTGAGAGACGCCCAGGCCAAAGGCAGCAGCCTGCTTCTGAGCCAAGTGACAGCCACGACGAAGTTTTCCTGCGTGACATCCCTGGCAGCTCCACGCGCTACTATGGGCATGTATGTCAACACTCAGCTGCTTGTTCACATTTTTGTGTTTGCCTTGTATTCATAGGCGAACGTGCGCGCACACACACACACACACAGGTACACGTACACATGTATACAGACATTGGGTGGTTGTCAAAACTATGGTCCCTTTTTGGGTCCTTATTATGGTACCGCACCCAATATTTAGGGTGAGGCCATAATTTTGACAACTACCCACATGAGTCATGAGCATCGCCTGTAACAGCCGAGTCTAATCTCGAGGTGCCTTGCGAGAGGCCATCGCTTTGGCAAAGGAGGCCCGGCTCCCTGCCGAAGAGCTCCGACCTTTCGAGGAGCCCCAGAGTGTTTCCGGGAGGCAAACAAGTAATATGCGTGTCTATATTATATATATATATATATATATATATATATATATATATATATATATGTATGTACATGTACACACACACACACATATATTGGTATGTATACATATATACATAAATATATATATATATATATACACATAATTTGGCCGTATGTATGCCAGGTTACAATTTACGGCGGCAGGCCTCCGCAGTTTCTAGAGAAAGGCAGACCGAGTCGTATAGATTCTTAGATGCTCCGGTGGTCCCGAAACCCTGAGACCCTACCTAGAGGCTCCATAGTAGTTCCGGTTCAGGGTTCATATTTAGAATCCTATAAGGTAACTCCAAAAAGGAACGACTATAGAGCCTATGGGTAAACCGTAACTAGGTTACGAGCCCTGAGCCCCCGAGGAGCTGCTTTCGGGCGCCGAGTCCAAGGAGGCTGCAGCAGCCCGGTGCCGAGGAAAGCTGGAGATCATGGATGTTATACATTGTAATGCACACATCGATGTAAAAAACATACTTTACAATGTGCAGGAGACCATGGATGTTACATTCTTTGGAGTTGTGTTTCGCAGATTCGTAGCCTTTGTGGTTTCAGGGACTTGGGGTATTCTTGGGATTAGCGGGTTTCCTCGGGTGCCTTAGTTAACTGTACCTTCTATAATCTCTCCGCCAAAACAGGAAGCTTTTGGCTTGGCTCTGGGCTGAGGCAGCGCTGAAAAAGGCCACAGACGCCCGAGATGTGGCCGCTCTCACCTTCGCCCTCCAGCAGGCGAAGAAGCCCAGCAAGTTCGCTGTGAGCCGTAGGTTGCCCGTTATCTGGATAGAATATAATAGTCATGTTGAAAGTAATAATAATCATAGTAGTAGGAGTAATAGTAATAGTAACAGTCATAGCAATACCTAGGGTGGACCTCGTGGCTTGAAGCTGCTTGGGAGGCCAAAGAAGCTGGCGTGGACCCCGAGCTCCTGGCAACCTCCGAGGCGGTTTTGGCCGTCGAGGACCACAGGGCCCTGAAGCGTATACACTGCCTTTAGGGGTGTAGCATGTCTACTTACTATATAAGTCTTGTTGTTCTCAGTTGTTTGAGGGGGGGGGGGGGGCATTTTGAGTACTTGCCCTGTGCCAGAGGCTCCCAAGCAGGAAGCTCGCGAGGCCCTGGCCACGCAGCTGGCCAAGGCCTTGCGCTCCGCCAGAAAGGGGGGCCATCGGCATGCACCCCCTTTTGTAGTCCCATTCCCCCATTGATTCCCTTTTCTAAAAACCAGTCAGACGGAGGTGCACGCCGCAGGCGACAAGGGCCCCTCGCTGGAAGAGCTCACTGTGCCCGGGCCTCCTTCGGACGCTGTTGACGGGCCTCCTATTGCAAGATCCATAGTAGGGGCACCTGATTATGGGGTCCTTATAATAAGGATCCTGCTATTGAGGGTACTATATTACATTATTTTACGTTGCGTCGTCTCCTTTGCAAGATGAAGCGATGGGTTGAGGCTGGAATCGGCTATCGAAAGGGCCCGCACTGTGGAGCTGACGGCTCAGTGACGGCGCTGCTCCTGCCGTGGGCATTTCCTACGCTTTTTCCCAAGGCTGCCGGAAGCTGAGCACCGACCTTACACCCGGCCTTTCTACATCGGGAAAGCGCCCCCCAAACCCTCCTTTCCGGACTCTCAGGTTCGCGCAGGCCTTGGACATTTTGGCACAGGAGCAGCAGCGTGCTATGTGCAAGAAGGAGGCCGGGAGGCATGTGGGAGATGTCCTGCGAACTCAGGCAAAGCTTTTGCGCATGTCTGTGGCAGGTAGCGAAAGTCGTGGAGAAGCTGAAGGACGTCGACCGGAACAGCTTCTTGCGGCCTGTTTGGTCTGGGGAGCCCGCAGAGACCCACAGAGGATATGTTTGGAGCCATCTCAAAGGATCTCAAACTTGACAAGCCCTGCCTACTCGCTTCCAAACACACTTTGGGGCCTGCCTAAATCATCTCTGCCCTTTAAGACTTGAAGCCCTAATTTGCAATGGGGGGGGGTCCGGAGCACGAGCGGGCAAGAGCAAGACTCAAGAGCAAGAGCAAGATCAGGAGAAAAAGCAAGAGCGTAGACGCAAAAGCCTGCCAGGCATGGAGGCCCTGGAAGCAGCCAAAGAGGACACAGAGACTGAGACGTCGTGAATACGCTTGGGGAGTTGCTGAGTCGACCGAAGATGCAGCGGAGCACGGACAAATGCCCAGCTGAATAAGCACAATATATACGTACACACACACACACATGGAGGAGCTGTTCAACGCCCTCTTGGCTGCCAAGGCCCTTTCCCAAGACCAGAGGGCAACAAGAGTTTTCAGGTGACTGGCCAACCCTAATCCCGAAACCTTAAACCCTATAGATCCCGAAACCCCGAAACCCTAAACCTGAAACCCCAAAAACCTCGTCAGGCCGTCGAGGTCCCGTCCGCTGCCCTGCGGGAGGCCGACGGCTTGAGGAGAAGGCGCGGAGCTTCGAAGACGGGTGCAGTTCAATGCTTACAGCGGCCTTAAACAGCGTTCACAGAAGACTGATGATTTCACAAGATTCATCATGGGGTTTCTAGAATAAGAAGGGTTCATCATCGTGTTTCTACACGGGTTTCTACACATAACACTTATGATCCCGAACTCTCGATCGCCGGCGGCCCTTTGCAGGATCCACAACGCCTTGGAGGACCTGAAAGGGTCGATTCGCGTCTTCTGCCGCATCCGGCCGATCAACAAGCCCCGCCGGCTCTGTTGCGGACACATCGGCTTTACGGTATCCAAGCGCAAGGGTACGAGCTGATGAGACATGATATAGAGTATGATAGACTGATCAAGTAGATTGTATAATGATAGGTTCGTAGGAGCGTAGACTGTTACATAGGATATACGGTGAGACTACAAAGGTTGTCGTTTGTGCCAGGCGCGAGAAGGAGCTCCAGGACGTGGATGCAGGGGGCCCGAATCGCATTTGTTGGAGAGCTCGGGCTCCACCTGATTCCTCCGCTTTTTGAGGTGACGGAGCTCGTAGACTCGATGACAGTGAACACCCAGAAGCCATCCTGCCTCCCTCTCAGAATGCCTCGATGCAACACCCTCGGCGCAGAGCCCAGAACTCCGTGCCCAGATGGCTCGATTGCAAACGACCCGGAGCAGTTCAACTTCGATGCCGTCTTCAAGCCCGGCACGCAGGCCGGGCCTGTCGGCCTGGGACCCTTGGCCTTGGCAGCCGAAACTGGTATTTACTGTAGAAGGCGCAAGGCGTCTTGTTAAGAGGTGGAGGGGCGGTGCACCTTCAAAGTCTTTCCACTTCCAGGCAGAGGTCTTCGACACTTGCAAAGACCTGGTTCAGTCGGCCTTAGATGGCTACAACGCCCCAAGCTCATGGCGTTTCTCGATTCTTGTACTCTGGAAGATCTTTCGATTCCGATTCCGCTTCTTTCTGAGGTGGCGATGTTCGCGTATGGGCAGACCGGCGCTGGAAAGCAGTGGCCCCAACACCCCGCCGGCCGTGCAAAGAGAAGACCTCTTACAAGTCGTGTTTTGAGGACCTTCACCATGTACGGCAGCACGGGCCCCGGTCCCCGCAAGTCGTCGCCGTCCACGAGTGGAAAGCAGCGCAACGGCAAAGCTCGCAGGTGGAACTGGGGACAACGCAGGCACGGCCCCACGGACCATTTCCGAGCTGCCGGTGCCTCGTCAACCTCCCGGAAGAAGCATTGCAGTTGGGAAGTGTAGAGCACCGAGGTACCGCTTGATCAAGCAAGACGAAGATCGAGTTCAATTCACGGTGCCGCCCCGCAAGCGGTGACGTGCTGCTTGTTGGACGAGCTTGATTGCCCGTGACCGTCCGGCCGATCAGCTTTCGGCTTTCGGCCCCTCGTAGCACATCGACTGCCCCTATATAGTCACAAGAAGCCGGTGGAATCTCCAACTGCTGGGCTCAAACATTTCCCGACCGAGGACCCTGTCGAAGATTGCTTCGTAGTAGATAGACACCGGTCCCCAGCCGACCCCATCAGACATTCACTGCATGGTTAATTTAAGATGCAATCCACAGCTTTCCTTTACAGCTCCTTATTGACATTCCCCATGCTCGAATCTGGCGATGCCATCGCAGCTCTGCCGGAAGAATTGGCTGCACCGAAGGCAGCTGTAAAAAGGGCATGTATGCTATTGAAGTTCTTCTTGAGAGTGCTTAGGGCGGCGACGAGCATCGAAGGTGGCACTTGTGCATTATCCCGTGGCAATTCGTTGCGTGATGTTCAGCTTAAGGTCGTGGCTTTCTGCCAAGAACAGTCTCAGCACCATTCCAGCAGTGTCCTGTGCACTGCCAGGGTCGCCATGCCGAGACCACTGCGGTTGCCTTAGTTTGGCTCAGAGCACTGGGTATCACTCACCAAAGTCTTGATCTTGACCTGACTGCCGTAGCTGTTCATGAATTGTATTTTTCAAACATCTCATGCGGCATGATCAGCAGCAGTGTATCGTGACCACCCGACACTTGAGCTTATCATATGCTTCCGTCAGCGTAATCCACCGGAGGAGTTCAGTAAAAGCCTCTCCACTTGGCATTGCCAGTTCTTCCTGCAGCACCGAAACCCTAACAAGCATGGTAGGTTTTGGTCACATACAACAACCATGCTACACTCCCAAATGAGACAAAAAGGGTCGGTTATGGGATTCCCTCCCCACCAGGCAGCTCCACTTTTTCTTGGTTTAAGGCTGCTGGGCCTGATTGGCCTTGGGGCCGCACCTCAGGGCTTCCTTCGCCCTGACCTCAGAGATTCCGAGGCACGGAGGGAGGGGGAGAGAGACTGAGGGGAAACTCGGGTGCGCGCTTGCACGCGGGGGGGGTGGCGACTGCTATTCCCCTTGGCTCCGTGGAAGAAGAACGAAGCATCAACAGTAGGGATCTAACCCAGGGCGCGGGGGAATGCAGTGTGGAAAAGGAAACTACGGGGCAGTAGGCCGGAACGTGCTTTGTTGCCATTCGGTCCACTCCAAAATGGAGTGTGCACTTGCGCAAGGGGGGCGCGGAGCAATCCTGCCCTCAGGCCAAAGAAACAGAGGAACTGCCGCTGTTGCCGACACCCTTGAGTTTAGGGAGGGGTTCAGGGCTGATAGGTTTAAAGGCATTGAATTAAAGTATAGTTTAAGCTTATAGGGTTTAGGATTTACAAGGCTTAAGGGCTTCTGGCCTTAGATGCATCCTAAATCCGGCACCATATTCATAGAAGAACAAGCCCAACCTTTGCTTGAGGATTGTCAAGTCTCTTTGAGGCCTCAAGGCTCATGAGCTTCAATTCGAACAGAATCTTCAATTGCAGTGTTATGTATATATGTATATATAGTCCCGTTCTGGAAAGACAAAGAAGCCACGGCCGAAGCAATGGATGAACGCGAGCGAGATTGCTAATAAGAAATGCACGGGAGCTTCCCGAAAGACTGGGACCCAAGGTAGAGCCCACCATAGATGACGTGCGATCCTTCTTTTACGGATCCAGGCAAGCTAAAGCAGCGGAGAAGCTCGGAGAGCTGAGGTTTTCTGCACGGCCTCGATCTCGACCGGACTTCGAAGGTTCGGCGCCTCTCGGCAGCTCCCTTTGCTGGCTGCCGATGCATTGAGGCGGAGCTGTGAGGGTGGCTTCGGGGAGTTGCAGTAGGGGTTTGCAGAGGGTTACCATGTAGGATGGATTCTGAAGACGAGGTCTTCTAGATCTTGCCTAACACTGCGAGGTTACGGCAGCCGATGGCTCGGAGTGGCAGATACTGGCAGGGAAGACTGCCGAAGACAATGACCGCCTTTCACTCAAGGAGAGGGCATCCACACGACTTCCGTCGCGATGTCAAGATGTTGTGCACTTCTTGCACCTGGACCACAGGAGGGCCGTTCCAACGAGCCGCTCCCTTGCAAGTAGCGGAGGTGCGCATCTTGATCCAATATTGTATGCATGTATGTATGTATGTAGATCTGATACAGATTTAACTACAAAAATCAATAAGCAAATACTCAAATGAATAAACACACACACACACATATTAATATATATATATATATATATATACTTATATACTAAAAGCATATCGTGTATAAAGATATATGCATACATATTCCTAAGCAGAAAACACAGAGACGGGGGGGGGGGGAGGAGATGTGCATCGCAACCGCGTCCCCTTGCGCCCAGGCCTTGGATGCACGCAGCGGACGTGCCCGGCTCTCACGTCGTCGTGCGGCAGCCAGGACTGGAGTATGAACCTATAGAACTCCTACGGCGGTTTACGGCGCTGAAGACCATTCGAGCAGCAAAATAGCAGCGGTGTGACAGCGGCTATGGACAAAGTCGATTCGGTTGTGCTTGATCATGACATGATGAGATACATGAGATATCGTGACTGCAATGCTGGCAGCGTATGACCAAAGCGGTTCGGATGGACACAGACCGTGAATAACTTGAACGGCAACTAAAACTTAAAGCCGATGGGACGCGGGACAAGGGACAAGCTGGCTTCGGACGGACAGAGACAGATCAATCAAAGCCAAGTTGTTCAGACAGGGTGTTGCTGTCGAGCTCGCAGCGAGCTTTTCGAAGTGTTGAGTATTGCATGATTACGAGCCGCAGAGTTGGGTAGGAGCTGACAAGCTGCCAGCGCCGAGCGATGTTGTGCGAACGGCCGCAGGCTGGGGGATGCCTGGGTGCGGGAGAGGGCGGGGGATTCGGCCATTTGGGTGGAGCTCTCTGTAAGGAAAGGCCCATTGCGTTTGTCGCTCTCCGAGGCATCGCCGCCTTCTACTCGAAGGCCGCTACGCAGCTACTCTCGGAGGAGGGTCTTTCAGATTCCTGCCCAGTGCCAGGCCAAAGGGAAGCGCGTGAAGGTGCACCTGACGCGCTGCGGGCAAGTCAGCAAGGCCAAAGGATCGCCGGCTGGCAAGGCCGGAAGCCGTGGAAAAGCCCGACGCTTCCGACGCTGACTTCCGCTTCTCTTTTCGAGGTACTACTGACGGGCAGCGTGGAAACCCTGCAAGTGCCGCTCAGCTCTGGCGGAGCTCGGTGCAAGCGTCCCTGTAGGTCCTTGCTGCTTGCTCCGCGGTAGTGTGGCCTCCAAGGCCGCCCTTGGATCCGGCGAGCCTGCAGAAGCCGCAGACGAAGGCGAAGAGTGCCCAAGCCAAGAGAACGCTCCTGGATCCGGACAAGGAGGCTGGAAATCCAAACCGGAGAAGGGATACCGTAAGAGGGAGTATGGCTGCTGTCCAGGGTCACCTTACGGTTCGTGGCACTGCCACCGCCCTCACAGGTTTTGTCTGCCGGCATTCGTCGTGTTGTGCCTCTTTGTCTTTGCTGTCCTTGTTGTTGTTGTTGTCGTCGTTGTTGCGCTTGCGTGCTTTTACCCTGCCTGTTTGCCTCGGTCATGGCTATGTATTCTGTGTAGTGCTGTTTTGAGCTCTGAGTTTCTTACAGCTGAAATTTGGAGGTTGTTTCCGGCAACTTACAGGTTGCTACAGCATGGATCCACGAGTGCAGGTATGTGCTGAAGAGTACGTTGTACCAAGAACAGAAGCACAGGAAACAGGATGCAGCTAGCTGTTGATCTTCATGATTTCCTAGCCTGTTCTTTTCAATGCATATGAACACAAAGGGTGGGTTCTCCCGAGCAGACAAGAACGCGTACTACAATGAAATCGAGCCGCCGTGAGGAAACGAAGCCGGCCATCATACGATGAAATCGAAACGACGTCACCCGAGAAATCAAGAAGCTGTCATACAATGAAATCGAACAGCCGAGAGGAAACTAGGCCGTCATACAATGAAGTTGCCCTCTGGGAAGACGACGCCTTCGTATTCTGAAATCGCCACCCGAGAAGACAAGAGCCGTCATACAGTGAATAAGCTGCATGCAGGCTACCATGCGTTAATACCTGTTTTTGAAAATCTAGCTTAAGCGTTGTCTTGTACATCTTCACTGTATGGCTCCGACTAGATCGTGTTAAGTACCGGCTCTAGTGCACACTGTAATTATTTCTATTGAATTATTTGGTGTTTGTTTGCTTTCCCTGTGCCTGCTTGATGAGGTGATATTCCTACAAACTGTTTCTTGCATCCCTGCTTGACCTTTTTGCCATCAGCCTACGCTCTGTTAGCCTGTTGTTCTTTAAGGATCTTGATGCCTCTGTCGGCAAAATTAGGATGTCTACAGGTTCAGTGAGTTTCAGCATCCTCCATCTCCAAGTGCTGTAGTGATTCTTGCATACTGGTCTTATCAATTGAAGCGTTTCCGGTATGGTCGTTTTTGTGGTTCACATCAGTGTGGCACAAACAAGCGCCCACACAGCGTTCCCTCCCTATCCTTGGGCTTCTTTATTCTTGCTAGTGCCTGTAGCATCATTCTTGATGTTGTCGTTGTTATAATATTATCTGTATATATATATATATAAGCATACATATATACATACATATACATATATATATATATACAATGATACTACTCATCTTCTCTATTTTTAATTCGTATATGTGTAGTCTTGTGGCGCCAGGCGGCACGACTGGAGAGCCTCCGAGACTTGCTTGCAGTCTGAGCTCACCAAGACCAGGGTCCAGGGATGGGAAATGCTGGGATCTTGTGCCTTGATGCTATCCGCGTCCCGCGACAGCCCTGCGTGGGACTGGGAAGCATTCAGGAGCCTTTCGGAGGAAGATGAACCTGGAACGCCGGATCGACGTCTTGGACGAGAGGAGCCTTCCTCGCTACTCTGCGCGTAGGTCGCATCCGCACAGGTGACTCCTAAACCCCGTAACCTTTTCCCTTAGCTGAGCCAGGATCCGCGCTGTGGATGAGGAGATGGCCCTTGCTGGCAGCGATGCCGAGCTGGCAGCCGAGCTGCTGGAGAAGCGGCAGGACACCCCCTTAGCCGCAACTTCATAACTTGATCGGGTCGAAGCATCACGGCTTTTGACGGACGTATCCTCGGACCAGCCTTGCAAAATCTCGTCGGAGGCTTTGGAGACTGAGCAGAACACTCTCTTCCAGGATTGGGAGGAGCCTTGAACAGGTTTTGCCGGAGATTGCTCCAGCTTCCGATGCCAAGTCTCCTACCCCGTGGTCCCTAGTAATAGTAGAGGACCTTTGCATAAGGCCTCCTTACAATCGCCCTTAGCACAACCCCAAACCCTGTACCCCCCCTTAGCGCAGTCGCCTTCTTTGTTGCAGGAGCTCGAAGATGCCTCGGCGGGAGCAAAACATGGAAAAAGATCCCAGCACCAATTGATTATATGGGGGCCTCTACCGGCGTTGATCGTCGCTTTCTTAGTCGGGTGTATGCTGGTGTTATATATAGGCTTCAGCAAGACAACAAGAAGGCCCACATGAAAGGCGGTAAGTCGGGACTTGGTCCGAGCCAGTCCTTGCGCAGGTCATGGCCAGCATGATGGAGCTTTATCGCAACGAGTGCTCCGGCTTGAAGGGCGAGCCCAGGTAAGGCGGAGCCCACCACACAGACTAACTAGATGGGTTTTGATAGAAAGTGTGTGCAAAAGAACCGTGATGTGAGTTTCTGTATGAATTTGTCGATCCATGTTGTTGATTTGTCTGCTTATGCAGAAAATCTTATTCCCAGGCTGGTCGATCTTCTGGTTCCCAAGAGCACCGGCAATTCCCCGTGCCTTGGCTTCCTGATGTCCGAAAGTTGTTGAGGGCTCGGGGTTTAGGAAAAGTTCAGGGTTTTGTCGTAGGGATCTGTTGACAGTACTTGAAGCGCCGCTGTCTGCAGGAAGCGGAGGAGTCAAAATCCTGGTGCTGGGTCCTCAGCGCACTTGAGATGCACACGAATAGGCCTAGGCTGTCAACAATATGTTGCGTCAGTATGTATGTATATATATATATATATATATGTACATATATGTATGTGTAGACATGTGCATATACACAATATGTTCATGCATGCATAATCCAGGTTCTTGTGGTTGGCCCACATGTACGTTTGTATGAATGTGTGCCTCCTACGTATGCATGTACATATGTGCGGATGAACGCATTTCCGTATGCATGTATGTACGCGTGTATATCTATTTGTATATATATATATATATACACATACACACGCACAAGCCCCTTCCTGTGCTACAAAATAACTGTATGCTAGGAGACAGTAAACTAAAAAACTATTACATGCGTAATCAAAAACAACTTCATATGAGAAAAGCATATAGCACAGTATAATACAGTCGCATAGGATAACATAATGTGATGCGATGTGCCACTATCCCACATGTTATGTAATGTTGTGTGACATACAATAGTTTAACACAGTACCATATACGAAGCATAAGGTCTGATATGGTATGAGTACCATATATGAAGTATGATATCATGTCCTATGACTTGTTAGCCATACAGTACCATACAAGGTCTGATATGGTATGCATATACATACATATACATATACATATATATATATATATATATATATATATATATATATATATATATATACGCTGGCGAGAGAGGGATACATACATATATATATATATATATATATATATACATACATACACGAATAGAATATAAAGATGTGTGTGTACTTTACACCCGTGATTCTGCCCCCTGCCCTCTCGCTTTGAGTCGGCGGCTTTGGAGCAGAAGCTCAACGTCCGCGTGGACAAGGCCAGAATCAGATTGGGTGATTGTCAAAATTATGGTCCCGTTTTAGTTTTGGATACCTTACATAATGGGTGCCGTACTATGATGGGGACCCCAAAAAAGGGACCCTAACTTGACAACCGCCCAGATTGGGTTATTCAATAGTTTATTGGTAGTTCCGGGTTTCTTCTAGGGTCCTTTTTACAAAGGTGTCCTACTCTATTCGGTACCTAAAAAGGTACCCTAATTAAGAGAACTGCCCGTATTGTACCGTGTTAGAATATACCGTTTTATTCCACAGTGGCATACTACCGTATAGCTTACTATACAGTTGTATGGTATAGTATTTCAATTCTTACTGTACATACTTACAGTTTACTGTGCAGTTATCTGTTACATCATTCCAGGGGTTGAAGCTTGAGCTTGGCGAGTTGAGGACATGGAGGGGGGATTCAGGGGTTTGGGGTTTTCTTGGATACCGGATCTCTGCCTGCAACTCGCCGCAGTCCGGCGCGGTGCAAATTGAGCACCTGCGGGAGGAGGAGTGCAAGACAGCGGAGGCTCCTGGTATGAAAGCCAAAAAGTGTATTCATGGCAAACTGGCTCGGGTTCCTGGCGACAGACAGGGAGGAGAGCCAATCAAAAGAAATCGAAAGCCAAAATCTTCCGGAGGCTTTGTCTGATCTCTTGGAGCCGGCTGCTTAAATCAGCGAGTTCTGCATATCTCTGGCAGAACATGAGCGCCCGTGAGGCAGCGAGTTGCCAATACGGGATCATCGTACGCTAAGGCGAGGAAATCAGATGAGGACCGTCTGCCCGGTGCCCAAGCGCTCACAGCTGTCCTTGCAACGTGAAGTCTTCACTCGTAGCTGAACAGCGGATGCCAGCCGAAACCGAAGCCCAGCAAGCTCTCAGACTTGAGCGGGAACTCAATCAAACTCTGCATCCGCAGCCCCCGCCTAAAGGCGCCACCAAGATGAACAGCGAGAGCCCGGATCCTACAGTGCCATGAGACACGTTGGTTTGAGCTAATGGTACGTGCGATTCGTGATCACTCCAGCTCGGGGTCCATGATCTGATAGTATTGGAAAACGAATCTCCGTACATAGAACATACCGTTGCCTGCCCTGCTGTTTCCACACTACTCTTTGCTACTGAATCCTATCTGATGTCTTATGTGCATTTCATATACATATATACATATATGTGGTGGGATATACACACCCATACTACAATGTATAAATACACAATTCTCTCTCTCTCTCTCTCTGTCTCTCTCTCTCTCTCTCTGTATCTCTTTTTCTCTCGATGTATGTATGTATGTATGTATGTAACACACAAACGGACAATAGGTACGTACGAATCTGTGGTTGACTACTTATTTGGATGATGTCGTGTGCATGTTGGTTTGCGAAGTGTGGCTTCTGGTCTCGTTACTCAAAACCTTTGTTCTGTACAAGCTATCCTGGAAGGTTCACGGTCGCATTTGATCCTCATCATCCGAGTCGTTGGTCCGGTGCCCGAGTGCGACAGCTTTGGTTGGCGACAATCCGAGGAAGAAGCTCTGAAGAGAGATTAGGAGAGGTGTGCAGATACGCATCCAGGCATGCCAGTGTGTAAGGGATGGGTATCGATAGGTAGGTAGATGTATCAAGCTGGTTGGTAATATTATTTTCAATCGCGCACAACATGTATCGTCGGACACCGTCTCGCATCCGTGCTTGATATGTCTCATATGGATGCTCTGCGCAAGATGAGGTGTTAACAAGCAGACGGAGCAGAAGCTCAGCGGAAAGTCACACTGGCTTTGGTTTATACGGCTTGGAGACGGTGGCTATGACAGAACCTGCGATCCCATTGGCCTGCCAGGATTCTTCTGTGCGATCTGGCCGGGTCCGAGCGGTTGAAAAAGTCCGACGTCGCCGGCCTCATCTTCTCGGGGGGGGGTGCATGTGAGGTGTGCATTTTGACTTCTTGCTTGGCAGTGCCCTTGGAGCCTCTGCCGGCTGAGGTTTCCGGCGACGCGCAGAAGGAAGCCATCGAGATCAACAAGCTTTCGTCTCAGCGATCTTTCCAGGAAGGTGCTTCTTGGGGGGGCGCATTGCACAGCCTGTCGCATGAGGTCATTAACAGCTTTGGGCGATGCGGCTTGCCTCGTTGTCATTGACAGTTCCAGCCTGTCTTCGCCTTTGCTTGGCATGGCTCAGGTCATGGAGTCCTTGGTGAAAGGCCTCACTTGGGGAAAGTGAATTTGATCAGAATTCGGGGCACCGGCATGGCCTGCGCCTCTGTGCAGAGGTGCTGCGCACGTGCCATACAAGAACCACAAGCTCACCCAAGTGATGCCAAAGCCTCAGCGAAGCTGAAATAGTCTCCGCCAGATCTCTGCGCAGTTTACGGGATGCTAAACTCTCAACCCTATAAACCCTAAACCCTGCTCCGGCATGCGGCGGCTTCGTGTGCTGGGTGTCGCCTTGAGGTCTGATGCCTTGGGCGGGACGTCGCCGACTTAGCTCGCCTTTCTGCGTTGGAAACTTATACCCAGCTTAAGGCTTACGGGAAGTGAGAGGTCGAAGACCCTGATGTTCGTGAACTGCTCGCCGGCGAGCTCCAACTACGAGGCCGCTCCTTCTCCCCCTCCTTCTCCGCGCAAGACGCGCACGGGGGGGGAGAGGGATGAGGGGATGGAGAAACAGACCCTCTCTTTCTGAGGAGACGGTGATGACGTTGAAGTTTGCAACCCGGGCTTGGCCCCAAGGATCGCCTACCGATTGCGAGTGCTCAGTCGGCTGTGTCATTGAGGCGAAGACGATAACGAACGACGTGAAGCGGAAGATGGTCGCAAAAGCGTTGAGATCTCAGCCGGGGAGCTCCATTTTTGATCTCGTGTCGCTGTCGAGAAAGCCGAGGAAACCTATGCCCAAGGCATAGCTTTGCCAGACCTGCTGCGACCTCTGCCAAAGGCAAGGGCAACCCCCCCTCCCGGAGAACGACGGCTGTGTGCACACAGCCTTCCCGAGCTTCAGTCCTCTCAGACAAGGCCCAACCTCAGCATCACTCAGCCGATAGATTACGGGACAGGGAAGACTTGTGTCATGCAGCCCGACCATCTCGCCGCTCCAAGAAAAAGGCAACTGCTGCAAAGAACGACGAAGCCCATGTCCCCAGCCATTACAGGCCCCCCGGTGGCCTTGGATCGCTAGCGTTGACCGGCTCGTGTGAGCCGGCCTATGTTGAGTTTGTTGTTTCAGAAAACCGCCACACGTGACCGAGCCTTGTGTCATCGTTCGAGCGTGTGCTGGTCGTGAAGTTCATTTGTTTCCGGCACCGTGCGCGCGCGTGGCGCAGGTTGTGCACGGAAACCCACGGGAAACATTGAGCTATAATATTATAATCAATGCTGCCATCTTGGTCCAGTGACCTCAAGCTGACCCCAAATCTAGCTTGTCAGATTGAGCCGTGGAGACTGCCTGTCTGTGTTGTTCGCTACTGGATGCATGCAGGGCCCCACATTTTTTCCCACCCCCTAGCATCCCTAGCATATCTGTCCCGCGTCCAATCCCCCCCCCCCCCCCACTGTTTTTATGATCCCCCTCACCTACCTTTCTGACCCTGGTGGACTCCGCACGTTTCTTAACAGTTTTTCCAACCTCGGCATGTGCCGCTTTTCCAAACCCCTCGTTCTTCTTCTGACGCTCAAAGCAGACGATTCTCACCCCGTAGAGTCGAAACCGTGGAAGCAGCCATGCCAGGCCTCAGTCCCCAAACCTTTACAGTAGAAGCCCAAAAGTTGGAAACCCCAAAGCCTCAATCCTTAAGAGTAATGTACAGGGAGTCCCAGCACTATTTGGCCTTCATGCGGTTTCTAACTTTATGCGGTTTACTGTGGAAACTTCCGAATCTTTTGCCAATGCCAACTCCTCCGAAACCCTAAACCCCAAGCCTCATGCAATCATGCCGTGGAAATGAGAAGCATTGCAAGGCTGTTCAGTCCAACCCGACCCTTTGTGTTTGGGTCTATAGTTCAATGCTTCGTATCAGGGGAAAGGTTTGGAGCAATCAGCTGTTGAAGAATGTCAAGTCGGAGAGCGTGTGCAGAATCTGTGTGTAGGGGTGTTCACCAAGAAGGTTCTGCAGTTGTTGTGTCAGAACGGAGACGTTTGGCAGAGCGAACTTGCACGATGCTGTCGAATAAGATGCTGCAACTGCTCGATACTGCAAGGAATGCGAAAGGTATAGAGCATGCACGGCAGACTCAAGTGGACCTTTCTCGTTGAAGAGCTGCGACATGTGGATGCCCACGTTCATACATCCTGCCAGCCGTTGGATCAATTAACACCTGTCCCAAAGTTCGCGGACTCACTTTTGATGCTGCAGTTGCAAACAGGTGCAGATGCACGCTTGGGCCGTTTTAGGTTTCACCGATGACAAGCAAGACTCCAAGACTGAATACCAACACTGTGTCCATCAGGCTTTCGCAGTCAGAGTACACAGGCCCCTCAACAACTTATGATAACAGGATTGGATTGAACTCGTGACACAGCTGCGGCTTCCACGTCGATCAGACATGGTTGGGGTCGGTGCCAGCGCAGATGGCGCCCAAAGCAAAAGGTTCTGCCAAAGCTGCAACCCACCGAGCGGAAAGGCTTCTGCGGGCACAAGCTGTCGACAGTGCAGACCAGAATCGAATCCGAATTGCTTGTGCTTGCCAGGCGATCGGTGAGCCCCAATCCGACCAAGCCATCGCCCAAACCCAGGGCTCGCGCTTCCTCCGAAGCACCTGGCAGGCCCAAGCAAGAGAAGATACCCTGTTGTAGTGGTGTTGCCTTGGATTCGCTGTAGGCCAACAGGTGATGCCGAAGAACCCGGTCCCAAGGTTGTGGAGGCGCGTGGTTGCACACCTAGCCTAAGCCAGGCGGTCCACGTATCGAACGTAACCCTTATGAGTCTTCCCCTCAGGCCGAGCTTGTGCCCGCCTGGCGGAACAAGACGGTCCAAGGCTCCTCGGTACCTGGAGCGCCCCATCTGTGGCTTCTCTCAAACCTCCAGGCCTCTTCTGCGATCCTTACATCGAGAACACGAACTTGGAAGGCGGCCGCTCTTCCCAGGCTCGGCTCTCGGAAACTTCCTTCTGCCCCAAAAAAGTAAAGGGTGCAGACCGTGAAGCTGTGACTGCGTTTCCTTGAGGCGCTGAGCGGGGGGCTCAGGGGGACCCAAAGCTGCTTCGAAGCGGAAGCCGAGCTGTTACGCTGCTACGCTCACTGTTTGAGGCGATGTTATTGAGATTGGGACCGAGCTGTTGCGATCGGCGCCCATCTCAATGAGCAGCACTGAGATCCAGGCTCTCAGTCGGAGGCTCAGCACGGCAGCAAGCTTTAAGGGCAGCCAGTTCTGCATCCGATGTCCGCTCATGTCCCCAGGTGCGGCTCTCAAGCAGCTGGGAGCCGCTGCCGATCGCAGCAACGCCGGCCACGATGCCTTCGAAGCCCAGGCCGGACTCTCTGCAGACCGCCTTCGAATGGAGACAGACAGCCGGGGCCGGGGCATGAGAGATCGCGCTGAACGCATCTGAACACATGGCAGCACCAGTCTATAGACGTGATGAGGCCGGAATGCGCTGGTGCCAAGAGATGCAGTGGCCAGACCGCAGTTGTCAGTCTTGGACTTCAGTCCCGCTCCGGACTTGAGCTTTCAGTCCATGGGTTGCCCGTGTGTCTCGGATCAGAAGTCATGATATATGTCATGATATAGACCTCCCAACGTCTTGGGCGTCTCCTTTCCCACGAGTCGCTTTGCGACAGGAAACAGATCCACGCTCTGCGCGCAGATGAGACCTGGCTCGTGGAAGGGGGCTGGCGCGGAGAACACGGCAGCCACGCCATCATGCGCCTCGGAGTTCGTCAGCTGAGGATTTGGGATGGATCAGTTTTTTCACACACCTTGAGCTCGCTGATAGCAGGGGCGAAGCTCAGGCCTGCCCAAAGCCCAAGGCTGTTAGACATCCATCCTTCCGTGAAGGGCCCCCCGTTCTCAGATTTGTTGTGCTCAACGTGTGTTCACCCTACCTCTTTCTTGGCTGTCGACCTTGTAGACGTGACTTGGATTGCTTGTTGTGCGTCAAGAACGGGTGATCAGGTACATGATCCAGAGAATATCGGACAGTGATTCAGCAGCACTCTGGTAGCTGCGACTCCATGACTACGCAGCCATTAGGGGATCTGGTGCCTGAGGTGAGTTTTCCTTCTCTGTGCTCAATACCGGCGCGGGGATCCACCAATTTCAGGTCTGCGACCCCTCCATGATGGGGATAGGAAAGGCCCGCTACAGAACGAGGCCCGGGACGATGCACTTGTGCATGCTTGTTGCCAGGGTCGTTTTGTGCTTGTGGTGTAATCCTCCACATCTTGCCGACGGGCCTTCGAGGGCTTAGGTGAAGGTTCTGACCAATACATGGGAATTTCCGAAAATACGGGACCCAAATAGAGTACCTTTAAATGATAGGATCCTTATCATAAGGACCGCAAATTAACGTAACCAGAACTTTCGGAAACTCCCACATTAACAATGTAATATTGGGTACATTCCAATGTCGGCACTTGGCACGGCCAGGCTTTGTCTCCATTCGATCAAGAAGGAGCGTGCAGGGTGGGGCACAAAGCGTCGAAGCAGCTTATACTATAGGGGCCTTATAATAATTTGAATAATCATAGGATTATGCCATAAGTATATGAAGGAACCACCAGAATAGTATTGGTAATTAGTAATTCATGAAAGCCTTTATGACAGATCAAGGGACCTCACAGACAGTACTCGTTTGCCGCTCTGCGAATCCCAAGAGCCCGGCCAGGAGCGCCTAGATCTGCCGTTTCTCTACGCCTTGCCGCTCGTCCTTAGCAAGAGTGGCTTTGCAGTGCCTTAGGGGATACATTATTTGTAGGGTGTATAGGGTTTGGGGGTTTAGGGCTCAAGGGTTTAGGGTTTAGGGGGCGATCTCGGAAGTCTCTTACTATGCCAGCTGCAGGTTTCGGACCTACTTCGTGCGCCACCGCTCTCACAGCTGCGCCCAGCTCTACGAAGTGCTCCTTCCCCTGCTGGAAGCCGAAGCTTGAATCGGAGCTTCGAGATGCTGATGTTTGGGAGGTAGTCACGGCTCTGGCTCTTTGCTCCTTCTCTGTCGAAACTGTAAGTATTCTCAGGAAGAGAGCGGGGATGCATGGCCAAGCACCCCACAGCGTGCAGGCACCTGTTCCTCGGATGCAAAGCTGAACTTTGTCTCCGTACCCCCGAAAATGTGCGAGGATGATACTAGCCTACAAAAGCACGTCCAGGTTATGCGAAGTGCATCTTCTTGACGCTGCGCGTTCTGCTTGGACACTTCGGTCTCGGCAAAGATGCTCAGAAAAAATGGATGCTTAACTTCCGCATCGGTTACTTGGAGAAGATGGTTTCGGACTTGCAGCAGTCCTGCCACAAGCTTACCATCAGCGATCGGATCATTCTGACCGGGCCCCAGTGTTCTTCCGGAGAGACTGATCCCCTTCTGCCTCTGCCCTATCATCCCTAAACCCTAAGCCCTATAAGGCGCAATGATCGTGTCACCAAGGACCGTGGCCTTGAAGCAAGTCGCTCGCCGCTGCGCGCGCGAGGCCTATGCTCTGGTGGTCAGGGGCCGTGTCCACGTGAGCTTACAGAAGATCTGGTTGGCGGCGCCGCCCATGCCCTGGCTTGGCTACTTCACTGCGAAGATGGAAGCAAAAGAGCCAGCCCTGCAGCTCCCCAAGAGCTCCAAGAGCTCCGGCTCTGGGTTTCAAGGTTTCCAGCTCCTGGTGGCAAGTGCTTTGATTCCTCCGGAAGTGCGGAACGCCTTTGCCGGCCCTTCTGCTACGAAGTCCACGAACCCGCACGTGGACCTCACGGGCATCGCCTCGGCGAGTGCCTCCGGCCCAAGTCTCGACGCCGTGCTCCAGGCGGCCTTGATGTGCGTTCCTTGCCAGCAGCACACACACACACACACACACACGAAAGATTTGCTTGGTACTTTGCGCTTAGCTTCCTCTTATGCTAGAAAGTAGTGTTCTGAAGGATCGGCTGGAGGAGGTCCTGGGCTGCTCTCTTCGCTCGAAGCAGCTGATCTTGGGCGTCGTGGAGTCTCTGGTCTTCTGGGAGGGACAGAGCCTGTGGCACAAGGATCTGGGCGAGCTCAAGCTCGCACAGTGCCGAGAGGCAAGAGAAGCTGAGAGCTGTTCTTCTTCGTCTTCTTCTCTCTTCGTTTTCTGAGGATCGTCTTCTCTCTCTCTCTCTCTCTCTCTCTCTGTCATGCACAGGTATTGGCTGCCATCCATCGTCTCGGAGCCCACTACTTGGCGGGGGCTCGCTCGGGCTTCTTGGGCCGCTGTGGGAGCTCCACGGGTTTGTTGGTCCTCGCGAGCCTCCTGGAGCTCTTCCAGCGGGTTTTGATGGCCACGAAAGACGCCAAACTGGCCAAGGCGTGCGCGAAGGACTCGGCGCTTTGGTCCTTGCGGCCCTGGCAGAAGGATGGCCGCCCACCCACTTTTGCAGATCTGACCGCCTGGATGCCCATGACCAGCCCTGCCATGTTGGAGGTTCGGAATCGGCTTTGCCGTCGCCAGAGCGCCAGCGCGGGCTCTGAAAGCATCCTCCATGCGATGGAGGATCCCTCGCTCCTCCTCTTTGGGCCCCCGGAGCACCAGCGCAGCGAGCTCTCCTCTGCGGAGGCGGTCGGCTGCGGCAAGGCTCATACAGTTCTCGTCGCCCGCGTTACAAGCAGTACAACCAGTGTACACTAGCATACAAGCAGAATGTATGATAGACTAGAATATTATGTTTAGAGTGTTGACAGAGCTGAGCTCGCTTCCGAAGGCCTTTGCCGAGCTGGTGAGCAAGCTGGTGTCTGTTCTCGGCTTGAAGGGCATGCCCACACTGCCGGCGGTGGAGCGGCCTTACCAGGACTGGGAGGTCCAAGTGGCCTGGGCCTTCGACCCGAACTTGGAAGCCGCTTGTCCGGAATGGGCTCAGGCCCGGGACTTGAGCATTTTCTTCCAGATGCTCTTGTCCAGCGTCCCGGCCCTGTCCCAGTCACTTGAGGGTCAGGGCGTGGCACCCGCTGGGGATGCGCCGCTCTCTGCGAGCAGCATAGCAGAGTGTGGCTTCAGCCTCAGTCTCTTCAACCCGCCCAGCAAGCTCACGGTGAAGGTGCTGCACATCTGCACCATTGCTGCGCGACATGCCAACTTCCTCTACACGCAGCCATCCCTGGCCCACCCGAAGGTGCTTTGCCCCTCCCTGCCCTACCTTCGCTTCGGCGGTTCCCTGGAAAACGAGATCGCTTCAACGCCACATCTCCCCGACTTCGACTTCTCCCTGACGCAAGCACAAGCAGAGACCTTACTGATGATCCTGAACTGCCCTGGGCCCCTCGGCTTGCAATTTCCCGCGAGCAAATCTCCAGGAAAGATGTTGCCTCCCAGGCTCCGCATCCCGATGCTTCTCCAGTTCGTGGTCCCGAATCACGTGGCTCTCCTCCACCACCGCCAGTTCCAGAGAATCTTCTTCGCCTGCCTGTTCGAGCCCGGCCTCTTCCCCAAGGAGCCTCGGGAAGAGAAAACGGCCTTTCCTCCGAAGGTCCAAAGCCTGCGAGAGGCCCCGCGCTCGTTCACTTGAGGGTTTATCGGGATGAGACAGGTCACTTCTTGGCTTCCTACAGGGAGACTTAGAAAGAATCGGCGGTTGCAGAGAGCGCTTATCTGCGCTGTCTTCCGACTCGCAGGCCAAGGTGCCTTGTTTGGAGCCCATGGCGGTCGAGTTCGGCTGGCTGAGCACTGAGATGGCCACTTGACGCAAATCCAGCGCTGCCGCAAAGTGGCTTCTTCGACCCTCCCGTGTCGTGAGGCGACGAAACCGCAGCTGATCCTGCCCTTCCTGCACCAACTTTTCGATGCGGTGAAGGACTTGGGACACTTGCCTGAGCCTATCCTGTTTCGTTGTTTTTGGCAGAGCTGTATAAGTTCCTTTATGCTTTTGCCCCCGGTCCGTCGCAGATGCCTGCCCCAAGCAAATCCTTTTCAGCTCCGTTCATGTTGAGCCGAGGCAGCGGGAACTCGGATGGCCCGTTGGTGCAGCCCTTCCTCTTTGTTCTGCGGGTGGCCGTGCTGGTCCAGGACCTGTGCTCCCTGAGCGGCTGCACGCGGAGTCTCCAGAACTGACGTAGCTTGCGCGGTGTATTCGTCTGTATATGTAGATGATGATGTCCATCAAATGGTACGCCAATGACTTTTTGCACGTTTTTACCCTGGCACCCATCTTGAAATTCTGCGCAACCTCGAAAGCCACGTACTCGTACGAGACATGTGGGAATTTCCGAAAATAGGCGGCCTATTGCAGTACCCTAAATAATAAGATCCGTATTATAAGGACCCCAAAATAAGGTACCCCCTAAATTTCGGAAACTCCCATGTGGACCTTGTGAGGACTTCGTGGAGGTGGCGCGGCGGTCTGCCGCGGGAGAGGCCTTGGCGTGTCTGGAGGACCTGTGCCGCTCCAAGAGTCAGGGGGAAATTGCATCAAGTCGGAGCGCATGACCAAAGGTATCAAGACTTACCTTTGGGTTGTACAGAATGGAAGAATGGTAGTAATAATAGTTATAATTGTACCCCGTTCCTCCATTCCCCACTAACCAAAGGTAAGCAAAGGTAGCAAGAGCACAGTGCTGTCACCCCGCAGAATAAGCGCTCAAGATGTTCAATGTGCGCAAGCTGCAGACTGTGCATTCTTCAGATGTTCTCACGCACCCAAGCGGCATCACGAAGCAAAGTCTGTTTGCCTTGGCAGAAGGTCAGCATTACAGTACAGCGCAAGGCGCTACTCAGTGTTATAGGAGTCACAGCTTCAGCCTTGGCCAGCGGAGATCCAGTCGGTTCTCTCTGCCGGGCCGTCGTGCCAGCCCTCGTTGCATGCTTTTCTTTGCACCTGAGACATTTGAATTTGCCTGCCTAGTGATATGTTCGCGACACCTTCACCAGTAGGGTTGTACATCGACACCGTTCTTTCTGTTTCCACGTCGACCTCACAACTAGGCGACGAACGGTTTCCTTATGGGGGACTGTACTACTGTGCGAACATGTTGTCGCGCTTGCTTTCGAGCTTACGTTCGAGTTCGGGATGTGTCTCATGCTCTTCTTTTTCTCGATAACATCGTGGTATGATGCGCGCACACACATACACATATACATCGACACATATTGCAGTGTCCATACGTAGATGTATACTCACTTACGCAGGCCCCATATCTACATTGCACATTAATTTGGCATGTGTGTACATATGACAATCTATAGTCGACATCTGTGCTCAGAGTCCGTGATGCTGCCTTTCAGGAGCACAGCAAGATCTTCCGCCGCTTCACTCAGAAGTTGGCCAGGAAGATCTTGGCGCGATGGATCCGCCAGGCCAACGTCTCCAAGAGCCTCGCCGAATCCAGGTATGGTCAAAGGCATGGAGAATGGAGGCTTAGGTTTGAGGCGTGTAGTGCGCAATAGATAGATAGATTGATTGATAGACTGATGTATATATGTATGTATGTACGTACGTCTACATATATACTCAAGCCATCATCCCGTCAGACGAGAACCGTTCCCTGTGCATTCGGAGAATAAGGCTGACTATGAGTATGACTATGTCTCGCCATATGCGTTTACTTGAAGATGCAAATAGAAGGAGAAATAGAAGGAAGATACAACGTACAAGTACAGGTAAGATCAATAGCTCACTATGCACATCATATACATGTACTTGTATCCGTGTCTCTGTGTGTGTGCGCGCATGTGTGAGTGCACACAGAGATGTACATGTACGAAGACATACGTACATGTGACCTTGCATACGTGTGATTAGTTACAGGTGCATACACTTATACATACACTTATACGTACCAGTCATACATACAGTGTGCGCAAACATGCAAGCACGCATGGATGCATGGATGAATACATACATAAGTTCGTGGTTACAGACATCTACACACCGAGTCAGGGTATGAAAGCTCCAGCTGAACGGCAAAAGAGTTCTGTGTTTGAGATCGTCAGCCTTGAATCCGAGGAACTACAGTGTTTTGATGCAGTGCCACGCACACCTCGCAATGACCTTTGGCAGCATATTTCCCTGCACACGACTGCTCTTTGTTTTGGATGGTTTTGCTCCGGTGTCAGTTGTGCGTGACGAGGACGGCCTGGTCTGCGTCCGAACCGGAGGCAGATGACGTGCAAAGCCTGGCCGTAGCCTCCTGCACCTTCAGCCTCTGGAGCGAACAAATTGATGCCGTCGCAACGGCTTCCGGGGACGAAGCCGACACGGTGCAGGCGGTCTTCAGCACCCTTGCTAGGCCAGGTGGAGATGGCAGCTCAAATCAGCTCAAATTGCACCAAACAATTAGTCAAGATGCCTGCGGCAGGCAGAGGGTGTCGCTTCTGAGAGCTGTGGAAGTCATCGATGCCCAAGAGCGCGACAAGTGTTTCAGCTTCATCTTGGGCGGAGCCATGGGAGCCTGAGCAGTATATCATGTTTCAGTACTCAAGTTTATAGAAAGTCCGGTTGGCATCGTAAATGAGGAGTGGACGCAATGCCAGCCTTGACCTGGAGATCAGCCGAGCACATTCCGACAGTGTGCAAACGCGTGGTGGAGACCAGTCACCCCATCAACAAGGATGTCTTCTTGCAAGCCCCAAGCCCAGCAAAGAACCCAAGTCCACCGCTGTAAATTCTTCGCCCTGTGTCCCCTGCAAGGATGATCTTGGAAAGAACGCAGTAAGAGTGGTCCGGCTGCCCAAAGCCTCGCGGATCATCGTGCGATTCGACCCTTTGAGCCAGCTGGACACCGGTGACTTCTTGAAAATCTACACCAAGGGCAGCAAGGGCGCCAAGGCCTCTCAAGACAACAGGGTGCGTTGTGGTGTAGCACACTTGTGTGCGCAGTAACAACCGTGAACGGCGTAGCTGCCTTCAGCACTCTGGCTCGACGCGACTTTCGCCTAAGCTTTTTCTTGCTAGCTCCTCTTGTGCCTTCGGCGGTCATGGCTCTTCACCCGACGATCGCTGCTCAGATGATGGCCGACGCCCTGGCGGCGGCTCGGCGCACCGGCTGGGTCCCGGTCATCGGCCTCCTGACGACGGACCAGATGACGGACCTCATCGACGCCGGGCACGGGGCGAGTCAGCTGATGGTGGGCCTGGTCCAAGGCACGACGACGGAGGAGGCGGCGGAGGTCGCGACGATGACAGCGGGTGGCACCGGCGGCACTGAGAGCATGCCCTTCGTGCCGACGCCCTCCTGAGGGCGACGAAGATGGTGACGACGTGGTGCTGGAACAGCCGGTTCTGAGCGGGACGGCGGAGGTTGGGTCCCCGCCCGTTGGCCCTTCCACGGCGGCGGCGCCCACCCCGATGGCTACCGCACCGACGCCCTCAGGCAGATCGACGCCGGCCATTGTGAAGGCGACGCCTCCTGGGGAGCTGGCCCCATTGCCATCGGCGCCACCCTCTGTGCCGGCATCAGGGACGACGACACCGGCGCGGGCTGATTATTTCATCGACGCCGCCACCAAAGCCAAGGCGACGTCCTTGTTGGCGTCCAGAGCCGACACATGGCAGGTCGCGGCGCTCACTTCAATGCCCTCCTCTGGGACGACGACACCCGCACAGTCGGGGCGGCGAGGCCCGCCCAACGCCAGGGAGATTGTCGCGGCGTTGAATGTTCAGGCGACGCAGTCTCGCCCTGCCTCATCCTCGACGTCTGCCGGGCGGCGTCCCTTCTTTACTGGCCTCGACGCCATGGAAGAGGCTTCGGCGGCGGCCTCAGGAGCGGCGTCTCCCACTGGCAGCGCCCGCCACAAAGCCCCTCCGACGCCGTTGGTGCCTCCCACGGCGTTGGTCATTGATCCCAACAGGGGCGGCGGCGCCGAGGCGGCGCCCATTCACCCGGGTCTGGGGATCGCTGCGACGGTCACCGTGGCGGCGGAGAACATTGAGACGACGGAGCCGGTGGTCTACCCGCCGACGCCCAACCCCTTCGACGACCCGCCCATGAGCACCTCGGCGAGCCACTCAACGGCCGCAGCCTCTGCGGCGGACAGGCCCCATCCCGCAGACCTCGACGACGACCAGGCAGGGCCCAGAGGCGGCATCGTCCTCGGCGAGCTCATGGATCAATGAGGCCTCGGCGTCGGCGGGCGTGGCCCCCGCTACGGGTGCGGCCCCCGCCCAGGCCGACTGGGGCGACGTCCCCTGGGAGAACCCTCTCGACGCCCAGGCCATGGCCAGGATCGCGGCGGCGGCGAGCAATGAGGAGTTCCCATACATCCGCCAGCCGCCTGCCGACGCCAGCCGGCGACGATCCTCAGTGCCGACGCAGGCCATGCGGGCAGAGAGGCGGCGCAGAGAGGCATCGGCCCATGAGCGACGCCAGTATGAGGCGTACGATCCGCGGCGGTGGGGCAGCACCCCGTGGACGGCGGAGGAGGTGGGCCACATCTCGCCGGCGTACTTCGAGTACAAACGCCAGATGGAGAGGGCCGGCGCGTCAGCCGAGGACACGGCGGTGCCATCACACCTTCGGCGCTTCGCCTACACTGGCCTCTCAGGACGATGGAGGCCAGCGGCGCCCTGCCCAGGCCAGTGACGCCACGGCGTGGCGAAGACCCGCCAGAGGCGGATTACCCCTTCCTCCGACGCTTGCCCACCGGCGTGGTCGGCGCCAGAATTACGGTGCGGCACAGCAAGGAGGAGCGGCGGATTGTTGGCTGGTGCGCGCACCCGTGCACGGTGCCGCACCGCGACGCCGTGTGCGGCGGAGAAGGTCGCTGCCTCCGACCTATCGCCCTCGGCGCGGCCGGCTCACACGGCTCGTCCGGGAGCCACAAATGCCCGGCGTGTGAGGGCCTGCGAGCCCAAGGGCGGCGCTGAGAAGCCACCCCGACGCTGGGCAGCTTGGATTCGACGGGGCTTTTCTTTGGACCCGGCGTTGGCCGGGATCGACGACACCCTGACGACAGAGCTCCCGGCGGAGATCCACCAGAGTTTTTCTTGCGGCGTTCGACGAAGCTCGACGCCTGCCACAGACCATGCCTGGAGCTGCGCCCCGGCGCCAAAAAGAGTGATTGCATCGGAATGCGGCGGTCGTCGAGTGCCTGCACCTCTCTCTCTCTTCCCGGTTGCCCGGCGCTTGACCCTAACCCGCAGCCGTTTTGCCCAAACGCTGTCGCCAGCCCGGCGCTCAATTAGGATCTCGGCTCGATGGCTCAAGCCTCCGCGGCGGACCCCGCCCCAGGCACCTTCGCCGCCTTCCTAGCTGAGGTGGCGGCGGCCGGCGGCGGGGCGCACATGTCATGCTTTGCGGCCTTGGGGGTCACATCTCGGTCGGCGGTGGGACCAGCCAGACCGGCATTGGTAGCCGCCGGCGTCCCCGAGCAGGTCGTACTCACACTGGCCACGGCGACCCAACCCGGGCCAGTCAGGAGACCGACGTCGGCCATGGTACCACATCGGGCGGACATCCCGTACCGGCGCCCCGCGCAGAGGGCCTCACTGCAGGCGGCGCTGGGGGCGGCCGACCCGCAGAACACCCAGAAGGCCATCGACGAGCTGGAGTCGGCGGTGTTCGCCTCCACCACGCGGCGGTCGGTGGACTCCCGCATCAGGTTTTGGCTCAAGATAGCAGAGCGTCACGGCGTGGAGCCCTGGCCCCTCGACCACTACCGGATCAAGCTGCTGGCGGCGTGCCTCAAGGACGGCGGCTACAAGTCGGCGCAGCTCTACCTCGACGCCGCCATCTATCACCACGAGCACGTCCTTCAACTCGACGTGCCACCGGCCCTGAAGAAAGCAGCCCGACGCTTCGCCCGTGCGGCGGTCCGGGGCATGCCAGGATCGAAGCTGAAGCAGGCCTTCGACCTCGGCGTCCTGTCGACCTTGGTCAGATTCCAAGCGGCGCCTGAGCCCCTGGACTGCCGGCGGCCGCACCACGCTGTCGACGTGGTGATCATAGCATGCTGGTTCATGCTCAGGGAGGTTGAGATCGCCGGCGCCCGGGTACAGGACCTCACACTGTCCTCGGCGACCTTCGGCGGCGGCATCACCCTGGACCTGCCTCTGCATAAGACGGCGCAGGGGGGACAGACCGAGCTGACACGGCGATCCCTCCGCTGCGTCTGCACGGCGGTGATCCACCCACTGTGCCCGGCGTGTGCCGCGAGGAGACATGTGGCCAGGCTCCACGCCGACGGGGCCAAGGCACCCAGCTCGGCGCTTTTCCCCACCTCTACCACGGAGCCCCGGACGAAGGCGGCGTCCCTCGAGATGTTCCTCCTGGTCCTGGCGGCGTGCGGAGTGGAGACACACATGGATCACCCCGACGGCCGGCGGGTGCCCATCTTCGGGGGCCATGCCGCGAGGGTGTCCGGCGCCACCTTTCTGGCGGCACGGGGCGTGGCCATCGCCATCATCCAGCTGCTCGGCCGATGGGCCAGCGCGGCGGTCGAACGGTACACCCAGGCGGCGCCCCTGACCTATGCAGCGGCGGCCATACCGGCACAAGCCCTGGCCACTCGGCCGGCAGAGGCAGCCGGCAGCACGGCGGCGAGCTCATCGCACAGCCCCTTGGCCCTGCCGGCACCAGACGACGACGACGACGCGGAGAGGCCGACAGCAGCCAGCCCGACGAGGTCCCCCGACGCTATGCCGGAGGTTGACTTCGTGCCGGCGCCACTTAGACCGGCGGCTGTGGCACAGGTGGTCGGCGAGAACCCGACGAGGTTCATCATGAACGCCCGTTCCAAGATAGTGCATCTCCCCGGCGCCGACGAGACGGCGACCGAGAAGCACGAATGGACGGCGAAGTGCGGGTGGCCATATGGCATTCGCCAGTTCTTCCGGCTGTCGGCGGAACCGCCCGAGCCCCGGCGTTGCCAGAGGTGTTTCCCTGTGGTGGCGCTCGACGCGGCCACGGAGGTAGGGTCTTCCGACGGAAGCTCCTCATCCTCGTCCGAGGGGTCGACGTCTGATAGCGACTGAGCTGCGACGGGGTTTAAATGCTGCCCCCCTCCCTTCTCTCTCTTTCGGCAGTCGGCGGCTGAGCTCGCGCTTAGCACACCTACCGACGCAGGGTTTTAGGATCTTCTAGGCTTCCTTACCCGACGCCCCCTCCTTCCTTCGCTATGGCTGGTGCGCCGGCGGCTGCCTTCCCTACGGTGGCGGCGGCCATGGCTTCCCTGGACGACCTCATCGTCTCTGCCGGTGCGGCGCCAGCGATTCGGAACTATATCGCGGCGAGGGGGATCTCTTCTACACCGACGCTCGCACTTGTGGCCGAGGACACGACGAACTTTGTGGCGAAGTTCGTCCAACCCTTCCTGTCCGGCGTGACCTTGGCCGGCACGGACCACAAGGCGGCGCCTGGCAGCGAAGACGTGACGCAGGCAGTCCTGGTCCACCTCTTTACGGAGGCCCAGCGTCAATGGAAGGAGTCCCGACGCCTCCGCCTGCAGCCGCGCCTGCGGCGGGGCTAGCTCCAACAGCCACCTCGGCGGCCGACGAGCGCCCCCCAAAGCACTTCGCCCAATGGTCGGCGCAGGTCAATGCCTACGAGGCCAAGACCATCGACGGGGTGAAACGCCGCTTTCCAGCGGCGCGCCTCCTCGGCGCCGAGGAGGTGCTGGCCAGACTGTGGCACGAGCACACCAAGACCAAGGACTACAAGCCCTTGGGCCTCGGCGAGATTGTCTCCCGACGCACCTGGACGTCGGGGATGGACCTGAACACTATCTCGGCGAACAAGTCGACGGGCTCAGGCAAGGCCCTCCGGCTCGTCGACGGCGCCCTGGTCACCGAGGAGTCCGACGAGTGGACCCCCAAGGGCATCATGCTCACGCTCGACGGGATCGAGGCGGCCAAGTGGGCCTGGATCATATGCGGCTATGATGAAGAACGGCGCGTTGAGCGCTTCACCGACTGGTTCAGCGAGAAGGCCAGATCGCGACAGGCGACGATCCCGGCGGTCCACTCTTTCTGGGCCGACTCCATGTGGAAGCTATGCGCCGACATGCGGCGCGGCCTCACCTTCGGCGCGGCCACCAATGCGATCATGGACGACGCAGCCTCCTGGAACGAGCACGTCATTGCCCACTCCGCGGCGGCTGCCATGAAGAAGCAGGTCCAGATCACCAAGGAAACCGGCGGGCCCAACTCGACGGTGACTGAGACACACCAGGAGATCGACGACCAGCCCACCAAGGGGAAAGGACGGCGATGGCCGCGACGACGACCCAAAAAGACAGAGCAGCCCAAGGGGCTCGGCCGCGGCGGCGGCCAGCAGACGCCGTACTTCCCCCACCAAGGAGGGGGCGGCGGCCGCGACGACAGCCAGGGATGGCAGCAGCAAGGCGGCCGAGGCGGCGCACAGACCTGGAACACCTGGGGCGGCGCCAAGCGCAGCCAGCAGTGGGATGAGTCCCAACAGCACGGCGGTTGGAAACAATCCGGCTCCCAGGGCTCCCAAGGCGGCGCCGGAGGATGGAAGAAACAGCGCTAGGGACAGCACGGGGCCCCGCCCTCCGGCGGACCAGAGGGTGGGGTACCCGACCCGGCGCAGAAGCGCCCCCGCCTACAGCACCGACGCCCGGCGGGCTCCGAAGTCATCTTGCTCTCCTTGTTCGACGGTGTCGGCGCGGCGCCTTGGCTGGTGTGGGATCTGGTCGGACAGCCGGCGGCCATCCTGTCTTGGGAACTGGACCGCACGGCCACGGCGGTGGCCGATCACCAGGTACCGGGCATACGACACCGCGGCGACCTCTGCCAGACGACCCCGGAGCTCATCGAGCAGATTGACCCCGGCGGCGACTGTGATGTCATCGCGGCGGCCGCCCCTCCATGCCAAGACTTTTCCAGGGTAGCCGACGGCCAGGGCCACGACGGCGCTCGGGGCGGCCTGTTCCTACAGTCAGTCGAGTTCGTGCTCGAGGTGCGGCGGCTGGTGGCTCCGCGGCGCTTCGGCTACCTCTTCGAGAATGTCGAGATGTCCACGGCGGATGCCAAGCAGATCTCGGCGGCTCTGGGGACACAGCCCGTGCTGGCCGACGCGGCAGACTTCGGATGGATAGGGCGGCCCTGCCTCTGGTGGCTTTCGGCGGACTGGGGCCAGGTCAGGCTGGACCCCGGGACCGGCGAACCGCTTCAATGGGCGCGGAAAGGCCCCTGGGACCGCCTCAGGCTCGAGGAGGCCCGGCGAGCGGCCGACACCATGACACTCGACGGCCTCACCTTCGACGACAGTGTGCTCTCCGGCAGAAGGCGCCTCCCTTGCGCCACGACGCCCGCGACCGACGAGAACGGTCGGGCGGCGCCCAGAGGTTGCAGGGGGAAGATACCAGCCGACGCACAGCAGCGTTGGCTCGCAGACCGGCGGCAGTTCGCTCCATGGCATTACCTTCGCGAGGCCATGATGGTCGGCGCCGACGGGAAGGTTTATGTGGTCCCGCCCAAGGTGAAGGAGCAGCTTCACCACCTGCCGGCGGATTACACCCTCCAGGCCGGCGACAGCACCCTCGACGACCGGACCCGCCACCGCCTACTCGGCAATGGGTGGCACTGGGGGGTGGCGCGACGCTTGCTGCTGATCCTCTTGGTGGCCACCAACATGGGAACGGCGACCTCCCAACCGACGGGACCGCCCCGCCAGTCGACCATCTCTTGGGTGGCGGCGCTGTGGAGCCACGGCGGCCCGATCATGGGCTCGGCACCCGAGCAGCCGACGGGACCCGACGCATTGGAACACCTCGACGAGGACTCCCACTGGAGAGCTTCGGCGCTGCTGCCGCACCCGCTCCAGACAGACCCGGTCCTGGAACCGGCGTGGGCGGAAGGGATCACACTGTGCCGTCGCTGGAGACACGACCTGGCACGCATTCGGCGTGAGGTGCTCGATGAGGTGCGGCAGCTCATCGAGGACTTCGCCGATGAGACGGCGGCGTGGATGGCAGCACGCACACTAGCGGTCCGGGCTACCTACTCGACGCCGGACAAACCGGCGGTCACACAGATCCCGGTCTTCTTGGAGCTCCTTCGACGCCTCAACTACCCCGACGTGGCGAACCTCGAGAAGGACCTCACCGACGGCTTCGACATGATCGGCGCCATCCGCCCAGGCCCAGGCTGGAGGAAGAGGACCGACGACCGCTACAGGTTCCCGGCGTCCATGGAGTCCCTGCGCCAGGTGAATGCCGACTATGTGCGGCGCAAGGTGGCAACGCCACACACCGGCGAGCACACCGACACCCTGCTGAAGGAGCTCGTCGACGAAGTCCGCCTAGGACGGGTCATCGGCCCGGCGCGCCCACCGACGTGGCTTAAGGTCAAGGCTGTGGCACTCCCCTGGATCGACGCCGCGGCGGTCCTTGTCGAGCCACCACCCGGCGAGGCATTCCTCGCGGCCTCCTTTGCCATCATCCAGCTCGACGAGAATGGTGATCCCAAGATTCGCCGGGGAGAGGACTGGCGGCGCTCAGGTCACAACTCGACCATCAGCGCCGACGACGTCCCGACACACCACTTCATCGGCGCCTTCGTCGAGCTCGCCCGCAGCATGGCGGTCGACGGCGTGATTCTGGTGTTCGGGCACGACCTGCTCAGCGCCTACAGGCAGTGGCCTGTCAAGCACCCGGCGCAGTGCGGGACCTTCTTGGCCACGGCGGAAGGCTGGACCTTCTGGTACCACCTGGCCATGAACTTCGGCGCCACCGCCTCGGTTTGGAACTTTAACCGCGGCGGGGATGCCCTCCAGCAACTGCTGCGAGGGCTCCTGCTGCTGGCGACGGGGCACTACGTGGATGACTTTAACGGCCTGGAGTTTGAGGAGCTCGGCGAGTCGGCGACCGAGTCCTTCAAGGAGCTCTTCGCGGCGCTGGGCTTCCGCATCAAGGCCTCCAAGTCCCAACCGGCGGCGGCCCAGCACGTGGTTCAAGGCGTCACCTTCACCATCTCTCGACGAGGGGTCACGATCAGCCCCACTCCCGAGAGAGTGCGACGCATCTTGGCACAGATTCGCAAGGCGCTCGACGAGGACCAGCTCAAACCCGACGATGCGCAGAAGCTCGCGGGTCGGCTCTCCTTCCTCACACAGGCGGTCTTCGGCGGCGTTGGCAAGGCATCCACCAAGGCGATCTACGCTCGTGCGGCGGATACGTCGGCACACTCTGCCGACGGCCTCAACACGGGGTTACGGGCGGCGCTGCTGTCCCTGGAGCACATCCTGCCGACGGTCCGCCCTCGCTTCATACCCTTTGCCACCGACGAGCTGGACACTGCTGTGCTCTATGCCGACGCCTTCTTCCTGGACGGCGAGCGGATCCACAAGGCGGGGCATGTGCCAGTGTCGGCGGACGCCTCCAGGCCCAACCGTGCCAACAACGGCTGGGGGTTCGTCTTGCGCCTCGGCGGCACTGTCTTCTACGACCACGGCGTCGTCCCGCAGTGGTTCCTGCAGAAGTTCCAGGCGCGGCGGGCATTTATCTACATGCTCGAGATCTTCGCGCAGGTGGTCGCGATCACGGCGTTCTCCGCCCACATGCCCGGCGCCATCACAGCCTTCATCGACAACTCTGCGGGACAGGCGGCGTTGTCTAAGGGCTATGGAAAGGACCCGGCGGTGAACGGGCTGCTGGCAGCCTTCTGGGCCCTGGCGGCGAGGAAAGGAACCCTGATCCAGTTCCGGCGGGTACCGTCGAAAGCCAATGTGGCCGACGCAGTTTCCCGCGACGACTTCTCCAGGGCACGACGCGAGGGGTGGACAAGGGTCCACACCCCGGCGTCGACGATCATGAACATCCTGGCGAAAGCGGTCGATGACATCGTCTATGCAGTGGATGCGGCGGCGGCCGACTTGGACTCCTGCTCTACTTCCTGGTTCTCTGAGCCGGCGCGTAGTGGGGCAGGGTGCGCCGGACGGTGCTGAAATGCGCACCCGGCGCCGGCTGTAGGACCTGAACCTGCACGCCGAGCGGCGCTTTCAGCGCTATACATCCACACGACGAAAAAGAGAGTCGTCCAGTTTGGCGTCAGAGCTAAGAGTGCGACGGTTGTTGTGTAGCACACTTGTGTGCGCAGTAACAACCGTGAACGGCGTAGCTGCCTTCAGCACTCTGGCTCGACGCGACTTTCGCCTAAGCTTTTTCTCCCACCCACGCCACCCTTAGGGTTCGGCGGCGGTCAGTCCGCAGCGGGCCGGTGCTGAAATGCGCACCCGGCGCCGGCTGTAGGACCTGAACCTGCACGCCGAGCGGCGCTTTCAGCGCTATACATCCACACGACGAAAAAGAGAGTCGTCCAGTTTGGCGTCAGAGCTAAGAGTGCGACGGTTGTTTTTAGGCAGTTGCATCCTCTGCTGTGCTTCCTGGCGTTGCTGATCTAACATTTTGTCCTCTTCCCCGAAGAGCTCAAACTCAGGAAAGGACACCTCAAGCCTCAACTGGGCACCCCGGCACCCCTGCTACTGCTACTGCCCCTGACGCAACTGTAACACCCGTAACTACCCAATCCCCTTCTAGCAACCTTTCAGATCCCTTTAAAGGAGCCTCTGCTCTAACCATTAAGGCCTCTGTAGTATTGCTGCTGCTCTTCGGGTGAGACCTTGCAAGGGTAAAGAGCAGCGAGAGATCCTTTGGTCCGGCGGCCGCAGCGAAATCGCGCGGCGTGGATGGCCCGGCGTTGACGCCCCAGGCGCCGGGTCTCTGGAGGGCCAGGGCGGATGTCCGCAAGTAGGGATGTGTGTGTGTGTGGATGTATGTATGTATTGTTGAGATTTTAAGTTCTATACATATGCATTTATATATATATATATACAAGCTTATATCTTTGATAGGCTTGTATGTGTGTGTATATATATATATACATGAGCAAGGGGCGGGCTGTATCTTGACGCGTGGATCTCATCGTTTGATTCTTCCAGGCCTCGTCATTGAAGGCGAAACGTTTACCATCGAGATGAGCCGCATCATGAAGCTCGGCGAGGGCGAAGAAGTCGCCTATGGCTACCGCTTGATTGCCGAAGCGGAGCTTGCACCCAGCACGGTGAGCGACATGCACATGGCCTGCCAAGCCTCGAACTACGCTTCCAGGTGGCACTGTGGGATATCTTGCTTTAAGCGCTCTCCTGTCATCTGAGAGGTATACCTATGAAGGGCTCCTTCAAAGCTCACTTTTAGCGTTCGTTCCTGGTCGAGTTTGAAGACCCCGAAGCTTCATAGAAACCACACCGTGAAGTACACCACGGGGCGCCCTTATACACCGGAGAACCCAGGTCTGTGCCTCCATTCTGTCCGAATGTGGCGGGGACGTGCAAGAGGCCCTCCGATTGCTGCCGGAGGCCGCAGTTGGAAGAGACATAGCTCGGCTATCCACATCAATATATATATATATATATATGCGACACATTTAGTCTGTGCGTATACACAGCGTATGGTGTATGTAAGACGCATGGGACATCTGTATGTAGATCGGCGTTGATGATAATTGATGGTGGTGCTTCCGGAGGTCCGCCAGAAGTGGGAGGAGCTGGAGAGCCTTTCGGAGAAGCGCCAACAGAGCCTCGGGCTGCGTAGCGGCGGCTGCTTCGTGGCAACGCAAGCTACGGCCTTGGAGGACTCGGATAAAGTATGATAAAATCGAAGACAGAACCTCAGGGGCTATGGAGATGTGTTTGATGGGCGCAGGCGGCTGTGGCTTTGACAGTTTTAGAGGGCTCGCCACTGAACCGCAATTCCGCTGGTGACTGCTGGGAAGGTTTCTGTTGTTTAACACTGACCGCTGGCCACGAAGGAGTGTCATGAGATTCACCAGCAGGGCTCGTGCTAGTTGCGAGAGCTGCACCCGGAGCCTTATGATTATTCACGCACATTGCATATATGAACTTATGCAATCGTATGTATGTCGAGAAATCATAGCCATAATATGAAAACTGGATATGATCTCTCTTCGATTCATGAGATTCATGAGAGAAACCCTCAGAGTCTTCCCTACGAGGACTCTTGGCTCCTCGGGGCGCGCCTGGACCTCGGGGCGGCGGCGCTAAGCTTCGCCGCGAGGGAGACTTTGCGGCCGATGCCCAACGAGTGCTTCTCGGACCAGGCCACGGAAGTTATATGGGAAGCGTTAATTATAAGCTGTTATGCAGATTGACTTCTTCGGTAGGGTCCCTTTAAATTCTATACTACGGTGATAGGTTCTAAAACTGCAACAAGTACTGTAGCTTATGGTACGTAGCTCAAGTGTAGACACCCCTAAACGGCCCCTAAACTATTGTAAGCCCCTTGCACCTCAAACCGCACGGAGGATCGTTAACAACGGGTGTGGGGGGGGGAGAGGGGGCGGTACAGTATACATAATATATTGATATGTATGTATGTATGTATGTATGTATATATATATATATATACAAACACATGAACATGTGTATATATATATATATATATATACAGATCATCATCTTAGAGTAGCATGGTGATTTTTAGGGGATGTTGCTATTGCTTATGTTTCAGCCTGTACCAGGACTATCAGGAGGCACTGGGCCAGGAGCGACCCAACGTCCTTCCCGCTACCTGGCGTGTGGTTGTTTCATCACAGTGTTTAAACTCAAAAAGCCTAATTAAGTCCTAAACCCGAAAAACTCTCGGTACGTGTAAGTCCGAGTTGCGAGTGTTTACACCTGAAAAACTCTATGATGTTCTCATAGTAGGGTAACATTTTACCCTTGTTTATGTATATACTCAACGCAATAAGGAATACAAATGAGATTTGTAATACTGTCCCGACCATGAACTCATGAACTAGAATACTGTAGTGATTGAATGGACGATGTCTGATAGGACTTTGAGCTGAGCTTCAGGTCTCCACGTCCTTGTACCGGAACACCCTGAGCTTTCGGTGCGTGCAGGAGTACACAGCGGAGATTTGGGTGCCTCGGGGTCTGTAAGGGAAGAGTAAGATCGGTATACTTTAGGAGAAGGGTAAGGAGGCAAGCATGGATCCTGATGAGAAAGTTTCCGTTTTGTCTCGAGGCTTCTCCAGACTTCAGATTGGCCTTGGACCGGAAGGGCCAGAAATTCGAGGTCGGTTCGGGTGGCCATGAGGTACCTTTCGCCTTCCACCCCGTGGACGGCGGAAAGGGCACCTTGAGCTGGCGCGAGGAGACTTGGATTGAGGTGGCCATGTCCGAGTTGCTTAGCCACTTGCGGAAGCACCGGCGCCGGCACGAAGTCTTCGAGGCATTGTTGAGCACCCCAGAAAAGGATCCTTCACTTCGGAACCAGCCAGAACCCTGGCACCGCACCGTGGCCGGGAGCTGGTTTGCCGACGCGAAGTGGTACGGAGTATCCTCCTCGGAGATGTCCGGCGACGTGCTCCTTGCCAAGGTGACCAGCGAGAAGAGCGCCTTTTTCTTGGAGTTTGAGCTGCTCCCATGTGGTGTCCTTGTGGCCTATCGGCTTCATGAGTACGACCGCTGCACCTTCCGCGAGGCCGTCTGGACCTCCGACAGGCGGCGATCGCTCTTCGGGGCAGACCCCGAGAACTCCTTCGAGCTCTTTTCGGTGCCCAAAGCCCTGGAGGACTCCCGCCTTTCTGAGTCCCCCAAGGCCCCGAATTAGCAAGGAAGGTCATTCACCCTTGCAAGAGAAAATGAGAGCATCGGCGAAGGTTCGTCAGAATCAGATCCCTTGATCAATTGAAGGACCGAGCGGGTGAACTGAGCCCTCTGATGGCGTACGCCCCCTCCGTGGTCCTCCACAGCGCTAAAGGACGCTACCTGCCACAGAGATTCCTCCGAGGCGCACGCATCCCAAGTCCATGAATTCTGCTTGCTAAAGACTTATGTATCATATTGTATAATGTTCTTGCAGTATAGTAGCATCATTGTACATAGGGTCTTACGGCGCATTGTACTCCCAGAAACGTTCCAGTAGATTCTATTGTGTTCTCGCCTGTCATGTTATCGTGTTTTGGCTTATGTCACACTAGTTCACACTATGTTACACTGTCGTTGGCTTGATAGTACGTGTTGTTACATACAGTATCATGTTTTGAACAACATGGCTTTGTGTCCTATGATTGTGTAGGCTGTTGCCTCATATACCTAATGTTGTATGTGTAGGGCATGTATCCTTCCTATCCAGAAAGTGCCTCGTGTTAACTTTGAGAGCAGCAGAGCGCCAGGACTGTTGCCCGAAGTGATGCTGCCACATTACGCGTTCTGGCAGATCTCCGAGGTGTGCATCGAAGCACGGCCGAAGGACTCCCAAAGCCGTTGGTTCAGCGCGCCTCTGAAGATCCAGATGCTCCCGGCGGGTTTGGCCAGAGTCACGAAGGATTTCTCAGAGGATCAGGAGGGCCCTGAGGGCCCGGAGCTGCTGGATCCGACAAGAGCCTCCCCGAGCTCGGAGCTCGCGGTCTTTGCAGAGCGGCTTTCGAGGGTGGAGCCTTTGTCTCACATTCTGCTGTGGACCTGCGTCGACTGCGATGCTGCGGTGGACCTGGTAGAGATGCCACGCTTGCAGCTGCGCTTCCGCTTGAGGGAAGGCCCTGTGATTCGCGACTCGGGCGATGGCGAGGGCCCCAAGATCGCTTTTGAGCCAAAGCTGTTCTGCGATGCTTATGGTGGACAGCTCTACCTCGAAGCCACGCACCATCAGGCCATTCGACAGCTCCTTCCAAACTGCCCTCACGCACTGCCGCCTCACTGCCTCCTTCTGAGATCCGAGTCTGGCGAGGCGAAGGCGTGAACATGTCTCTCGGTCGTCTGTTCCTTCTACGCCCACACATCCGTAGTACATATTCTGATGCATCTGTCCGTGGAGTTATACTTCTCTATATGGAGAGCGCTCTTCTTCGAGAGCTGACCATGAAGCTTCACTTAGACGAAGCAGATCCGATAGATGTAGGAGCTTGCATCACGGGCGTCCTAGAACACAAGCCAAGGCAGGCATCTGATCATGTCTGTTGCGCACTAGTTCGCTTAAGATTCTCGCGTCAGCCTCGTGCTGGCTGCAACGTCGACGATCCGGTCGCTCAAATGTTGCTGTGCGTCTTAAGCAGGTGGTGGCTCCTCTGGGCGCGTTGAAGCGGCGTCAGAGCTACCCAGAGCCGTTCTCCACAAAAGACTCATGGCTTGATCAGCAATTCCGCAAGACTCAGAGCCTGCACGACTTCCTCTGAACCCGGCAGCATGCAGTTTCCTAGTGAAACATGTATGGTTTCACTGCTCACTGCACAGGTCAGTCTGCAAATCTTCGACGAGGAGTTCCTGTGCCCCACTGCAGCCTACGACCTCCCTCTGGCCACGGGCGCGGACCTGAAGTGTCCGAGCGTCTCAGCTTGCAAAGATCTGCTAAGTTCGGATGAATCGGTCGTAGCGTCTCAGACTTGGCTTGGCAGAGAGGTCTCCTGTCCGCTTTGTGGCTGCTGCTGAGCCGCTTGCTGCAGCTGGACTACGAGGGTGCTGTGAAGCTGCTGCCTTTCGTGTCTGTGGCTTCGGCCGAAGGCCATCTGCGACACGACGAGGCCTTAGTATTCCGGATGGCCTTGAGGGATACCTCGGACCGAAACCCGGATGCTGTGGCCATTCGCTTACGACTGGTGCATGCCAGCGTGGCCTCCGTGCAGCCCGACGAGGACCTCGCCAGGTCCGCCTTCGCCGACGCGGCGAGCTACATCTCCCACTTGACGCACGTGAGTCAGAGCTGCTGCATGTCCCTGGACGAAGAGCTGGAGCTCTGGAGCTTCCGACGAATGAGAGACACACGGGTTTTAAGTTTTCTTCTCGAGTTTATTTGCCTCACGCCGCGGTCTGTTTGGTCACAGCTACACGTAAGGAACAGCTTGAGCTCCATGAAGAGCGAAATGGAGGCCACCAATCGCTACATCGCATGGCGCCGAAGCGTTCTGCTGGCTTGGAAGCAAGGCACCTCCGAGGTGGAGCTGCAATGGGCGCGGCATTGTCCCGGTGCGTGGCTTTCCGGCGTCCTTGATGACGAAGAGCAGGCGGCCTATCTCCAGAATCTGCCCGTGACAGAAATCGACTGCATCGGCCGCCTGACGATGAAGAAGAAGATGATGATGATGGAACCTAACTAGCATGTAATGTACTGCAGGATGCAAGCGTACCCACTCAATCTCATTTCTTGAGTTAACCGCTACGAGAACCTGCCTCGACCGAGTGCAGGCCTGTACTTAAAAGCGACCACGACGACGGCAGCAGCACCGCTACTCCCACCCCTACGCCTGCCAAACTGGCAGCACTGACCCTTGCCCGCTCCTGCACACACCCACGCCCACTAAACCATCCAAAACCGCCCCCAAAGACACTGCACCTGCCGCCCCTGCCCTTCCAATGCCCGTTCTCCTACCCTACCAGGCCCTACCACCACGACCACACCGGCAACAACAGCAGCAACACCAGCAGCAACAACAACAAGTAACAAAAACCGCCACATCAACCACCACAGGAGCCAACCACAACAGCCACAACCGCAACGGCAACGGCAACAATAAGAACAAGAAGAATAAGGAGAAGAGCAATAACAGCAGCAACAACAACAACAACAGCAACGAGAGCAGCAACACCACCAAGTATAAGAACAGCAACAGCAGCAGCAACAACAACAACAACAATCACGATAACCAGAACAACAACAGCAGCAACAACACCAAAAGCAACAGCACCAACAGCATCAACAGCATCAACAGCATCATCAACAGCAACAGCAACCACAGCAACAGCCACAACCGCAACTGCAACGGCAAAGCGACATCAACAACAGCAACAACAACAACAACACCAACACCAACAGCACCCTCTGTACACCACTATACCCCCATACACCCCCTGCACACCCCCCTATATGCCCTCATACCCCCACCACCCCCAACACCCAATCCCCTTTACACCTCCCCTACACCGCGTACACACCCCCTAGACACTCACCGACTTTACATCCCTTCAAACTCTAAGCGCAAGGTGCACACCCCGTAGTGCCCCCAATACGCCTCGTACACCCTCCCATACACCCGCACACCCCCTCTGCACACTGCACCCTATGCGCCCGCTTCGTACCCGCGCCTTTTGACTATTTCGGCTGACTTTTGCATCGGTTATTTTGAGTGGGGGGGGGGGGGGGGGGGGAACCCAGAATTTTGCTTGGTCGATAGGGAGACAGCTTGTCTGTGTATGAGTAGACACTAAGTCGAAACGCCGAAGCCTCGGCGGAAGAAAGCTTCCCTGAACGCATGAGGCATCAAGGGTCAACCTCTCCTGGAGTGCTCGAAGTTTCGAAGCACCGATTGGCCGGAGCTGCTGGAAATGCTGGAAGGTGCTGCCCTGAAAGACGGGCTGCGCCTTGGAAGCGACGAGTATGAGTATCATGTACAGGGCATATACGGGTAGAACAGGTCATCTGGGGTATAAGAGGTCTGTGAAAGGGTAGGTCCGATGCGGGGATTGCCGATTGAAAAGCAAAATTCAGGGATGCCGCGTTTTGCAGACGCTGCTTCCCTGGTCCTACTTATAGCGGTATAGCCGTTTCGACGATCTTTGTTGTAATTGTGAAGGCTGCTAGGGGTTCGAAGCGAAGTTTGTTCGGCGAGCCTTTGAAGGCCTCTGGAGCTCTATACTGAGGTTCGCCACGCTTCTGGGCTTGTGGGAGCTGGGCAAGTCCGTGGAAGTGCAGCGACTGGCCACGAGGAGAGCAATGCCAAAACTCGAAGAAGAGATGTCGGAAGTTCCAGGCATTTCCTTCGCCTCGCAGCCTAAGACTCGCTAGCATTCCGTCGGCCCCCCCAATCAGTTTGAGCCTTCCACCAGGATGCTCCTTTTCAGCGTGGCGCGTCCGCCTCTCAAGACTCCAAAGAGCAGCTTCCATGGGCAGATTGGCATAGCGTAAGACCCCACCCAGGTGGTCAGAGCTTGGACAGACGGCTGCTGCTCACTCTCTTCATCTTGCAGATCTGCTTCCCAAAAGGGCCAAATCCCAGCATGAAGAGCCCACGCCTGGCGGCCTTCCAAAATCTGCTGCCCCGTCAGAGCCTCTCGAGCTGCATCATGATGGGGGCCAGCTGTGCATGGCCATGACAAGCGGCGACATCGAGTGCATAACATGTGCTGAGAAAGGTAAAGAGCGGAAGGAGTGGGTGAACGCATTGCCACTCGGGCCTGACTGTTGTCTTGGGGTTCTTAATGTTCAAGAAAGATATGGATATGGGGTTATTGATGTTCAAGAAAGATACGGGACTCTGTCTGGCACCACATCAATAATCTAGCAGAGCGCCTGTCTACTTCTTTGTGTCGCTTGCTTCTCAGCCGTCTGAGGTTTGACTGGGGATGTCGGCATTTGCGCGAGAATCCGGGCCTCGTCGATGAGATGCGGAGCTGGAAGAAGATAGCACCTCTGGATGGCAGTTTCCTCAGCAGAAGCAGAAAACCTCAAGGGTCCAAACCACCGCATTATCAGTTGTCTGTGTGCCGGAGTGTGGTAACTGCCGGTTCATATAGTATCTATTGTTTCATTCGGTACTTGGACCCTTGAGGCAAGAGCTGTGTCCCTGCGGGCCGAAAACTGCAGCTCTGTCTGCTGCAAGCCTAAGGATCTGTTTCTGTTCCTCTCTCAGACCTTCAGCCGACGGCCGTCCCTCGCAGCGCAACGGACCTGCCTCAAGCTTTAAGTTTGCTCAGAAGCTGCTGCATCCGTCTCGACATTTGAATAGCCTAAGCCTGGCGTCCTGAGCCTCAAGCCCAAGTATAAATCCTGAGCCCGAACCTTACTGCAACCACTTTGAAGGACTTCCGCTGTCACCGCCGGGTCCTGGCTGAAACGACGGGCAAGTCCAACGCCTGGCCCGTCCTCTCAGACCGAGAGCTCCAAGAGACCTTTGCCTGCAGTCAGCTGCCTGCACATCAACTTTCGGGCCCACACCAAGCCAAAGTGAAACCTAAATCGGGCGCTCACAGTCCCTATCTGCTGCTGCATGTCTCTGAGGATGTCAGTGCGCCTTGGCAGCTCCGGGAGAAAGCGATGTGTCCGTTCTGTTCGTTCGTTCTCTCTTCCTCTGTGACTGCTGAATACACTTTATATTACATGCCAGGCTTCAAGTATAGGGTTTATGCACGGTTAAGGATTCAGGGTTTACGTAGGTTTTAGGGCTTGTCGGATGCTTCCGAGGCGCACACCCGCTCTGGTGGTGGGATGCGAGTCGCTGCGGCCGACGTCCCTTGGCTCTCAAATCATGACCCGGCTAGCGTTTCGGTGGTGTCCATCCTGGTACCCAGAACTAAAACATTCAAAATCTAGAGTCTTGCCGGGTGCGTTTTTTAAACACCCATGCAAACCTTTGTGACGGACTGGATCAAGAAAGGGCCCGCGAAGAGAAGACCGTGTGGTAGAGAACACGGCTGCTCACACTTACATGTAGCAAGGTGTCGCGACCTTCCCGATACATTCAAACAGGGGTAAGTCTCTACTCAAGATCGAAAGGAGGCTAGATGGAGGGTCTAGGCAAGCAAAGTTTGCGCAATTCTCCTCAAAAGGCCGCAGGCTTCAGCCCCTCTCTTAGACATTCGTAGCCTGCACAACGCAGGTCGGGGACCTGAGCCCTCTGTGCTTTCTGCCATGGTGTCACAGAGATCTTGAGGTTGACAAAGGAGCCACTTCCCGGAAGCCCGGGACTGAGTCACTCTAAAGTTTCAGGGCAGTCTGCAATCCGAAAGATGAGCGGATGGGTACACAGAAGCTCGGGATAGGGATCACTACAGAGAGGAGTCTGCAAAGCAGCTAGACAAAAGAGAGCTTAAGCCATCTTCGCCCTAAACAGCACTGCGCTTGGTACCGGGGGAAATGCCGCATAACCCCCATGACGGACATGCTGGTGGAAATATTGATTCCAGCTTCCAACACTCCAACACTTCCCGAAGCAACCTGCGAGGCCCCTGGCGTCTGGGCCTCCTGCCTTCTTGGAAAGACAGCCTTCAGAGGCCCGCGGGCAACTTGAACTGCAAGGTATTCATCGGGGTATGCTTGCACCGGACAGCCTTTGTCGTTATACAGACATAGACATGTACACATATACACTGTCATTCATAGAAACTCCTCACACATACTTGTACGTAATTACACTGTTATTCAGTCTGTCTGCCTGTCTAAGATCCGCCCTTCTTGAGATCCAGCCCAAGAGCCCAAGTGGAACCCAGATCCAGCCCAGAAAGCCAATTTTTGAGTCAAACTTAAAGCCCAGATCCAGCCCAAGAGCACTTTCCAAGGGTGACACCCAGATCCAGCCCATGAGCCCTTCTTGGGCCAAAGCTGAACCCCGATCCTGCCCCAGAGCTCTTCCAAAACCAAACTTGAAATCCGGATCCGGTCCAAGAGCCCTTCCTGAGCCAAACCTGTGACCCCAAATCCTACAGAATAGTAGGTGATGAGAACCCTTAAAACGGTAGGTTTTTGGATCCACAGGAACATGAAGCCCGGATTCCGGACCAAGAGCCCATGCTTTGATGCAGGTGCCCTGCGACCTCCCCGGCCAGCGCGGCGACGTTGCAACGCTGGAAAGACTCAGCGCAGGCCTTTGAGGCCCAACAGGAGCCGGGTTTAGGGGTCTTGCCGTTTCAGTGAAGGAATGTAAAGAAAACACGACGCAGTCTGGAGTGGTTGTGGGATGTTGTGGGCTTTGTGAGGCTTTTCGACTCATCGGAAGTGGCTGCAAGGCCCTTTCCCTCAGAGTCAGAGCACTGCCTTGCCGACACGCAAGGAGCCCTCGGCGTTCCAGTTCAAGACCCGCCACGGTGGACTGACGAGTCTCTGCGGGTCCAACATGGACATCAACCTCCTGAAGGACATCTGAACTCAAACAGCGGGACCTGTCTGGCAAAACCTGTTAAGAATCCTGGCTGCGTCCGCTTTCACATTGAGAGCTGCAGCTTGTTCGGCTCCCTGGAATCGAGAGAATGCAGGATCTGCTGCAGGACGTGGAGACCTTCTTGCAAACCCTGCAGGCTTGGATTGGCGTTCCAAGTCCTAACCGAAGCTGAAAAGAGCACCCGGTCAGGTGCAGAAGGACCAGGACGTGAGGCGGGGAAGCTTAAGAGCATTCCGCCCCAAAAGCTGATAAAACTACCCCACATATAGACCCGAAGCCCAATTTATGAACCCTTCGACCCCACATGAAATGGCTGCTAATAACTCAACCTGAAAGAGGAGAAGTGTAACAGATTCTCTTGGTCTGTTAGCTATGCACTGATTTTGGATGGAGATCAAGGGGATCCCATCTTGAAGTGATTTAAATACCTTTCCGATACATAAGAAATTACAAATTCTAGAGAATAAGGCCGAGCTCGATTGTAAGGGAGAAGGGAGGGTGCAAAACGAAAGAATCTAGTGATATGACTCGCAGAGTCCAGCAACGGCGTGGGAAGGATTGTACGGGTCCATGTGTCTAAGCGCAGCTAAGCCTTCGAATTGAAAGGCCGAAGGCCATCGTTCTAGGAGTTTGACCGCCTCAGGCTCTCCCTTGGGAAGACACCCTTTTCATCAGCTGCGGTCTTGAGTTCGGGCACCTGCAAAAACTTAAACTATCTACCCCGAACCCTACAGTAAAAACCTAAACCTTAGCCCCAAGAGTCAACCCTTAACTTAGTAAAGCTGACAGCTTAGACCCTTTGGTAACCTTTAGGACCTATCCGTAAACCCTACCCCTCTGAGCCCCACCCCAAGCAAGCCATGCTAGAACTTCGCTCTCTAGGCGTGCCCAACAGGGCGTCGAAGCCATGCTAGCCTGGTCCCGTCGACCTTTGCAGGATCAGAGGGTTTTAGGGGCCTGGGGTTTTAGGGTCGGGGTTCCTTGTTGGGGTCCTTTAGAAGTAGTAAGACTTTTGATTCTCAGGGTTTCTCTGTTTCTATCAGCGTTCGTTTCTCGAGTTGTTCTAGTTTTCTGAGCTATTCTAGTTCTCTTCAGGCTTCTTCTGAGGGCATTACGGCGAGTTTCTATAGTGGTTCACGCGGATTTCTATAAGAGGTCATATTCTTTGAGCATCTACAGACCCGTTTGTCTGTCTGCCGCTCTATCTGTCTATCCAACATGGCAACTGGAACCACGACAGGTCCATCCATTCATGCATGCATCCATGCGCTGGCTGTGGTTTCCTTGGGAATGTGCAGTTGGCTTCTGTGTCCCGGGCTTCGCTCTACTTGGTTTGCTTTGTCGGGATCTGCTTTGCTGTTGTTTGTCTCCTGTGTCCCAGGTTCGGGTTTGCTGTGTCCGTTTGCGGTCGGACCGCTGGGTCCTGGTTAGGATCCTTATTATCAGGACCCCAAGGTAAGGTATCCTAATCTTCGGAAACTCTCCCTTCCTGAAGCTGGAGAGGAGACCGAGCACCGGGAGCTCTGGGACCTCGAAGTGGTCAGTGGAGCCTCGACATTGCACCGCGCAGCCGCTGTAGTCTAGCTCCGTTTTTTGGTCTTAAGTTTGAGGCTTTGGGGCTTCTCTGGCTTATGGGGTTTAGCAGCCTTAGATCAGATGTTTAGAGGTTTGTGCTACTTGTCTGGCGCGACTTCGGGATCATTGCTCTGGTGATGTGTGGCGTTTCGAGGATTCCATCCCCCGATGCTCAGCTTCGAGTGGATGGTAGCCTCTATCCTCGCAGCAGAGGCCCATCGAGATCTTTTCCAAAACCTCTGAAGTTTCTCTCAAAAACCTAAATTCCCTGATTCGTCCCCAAAGTTTCTGAAGCCCTCAACCCTCCACATCCCCAGCTGCCCCAACCCCTTAACCCCAAAGAACAGGAACGGGAACACTATCATGCAGTAAGCAACGAAACGAGAAATGAAGTCAAAGTAAGATTATGTGTATGTATGTATATACCCGCACACATATCGAGATATATACAGAATAAGCATACCCGAGACACACCACGACGGTAAACCCGCCACCGTCACAAAATTGGCGAGCCTGATCCGTACGCCAGGCTGGGGATGTTGTCGCCGCCTTTTTGCCGTCGTCGCTGGATCCCAAAACTTCGTTAGAGCTGGTCCAGCCCCAGTGCTGCTCGGTGGCTATCTTCTTATTTCTTCATATGCATATGGTAGATAGGTAGACAGAGAGATATATATATAGATACATACTATGTATATCTACATACATGTACATGCGTATATGTCCATAACTTTTTGCACGGCTGGTTGTAGCGTGACTTCCGAAGCCCCGTGAGTAAGGTCTGGTCGACGCGTGCTTGCCGCTCGCATGCACCGGAGTTTTGGAGCGGCCCGTTTTAGGGTTTAGGGGTTAGGGTGCTGAATCCTTGGGTTTACCTCCGGGCAGATACACTGATACATTGCCACTATACACCTTAGACTACACCAAGATATTTTTTTTCTAAATCTCAGCCCAGAGGGCATCCTGTAAAGGACGGTACTGCTCCTGGCCACTCGTGCTGCTTGTGCTCGCCGGGCTTTGGTCCACGCCTTTGCCCTTGCAACCCGGCTCAGGCCGGGGTTGCTCGGATGGGGGCCCCTTCTGAGGGCTTAGGGTTGGTAACGTCGTAACGTTAGGGTGATCCCGTGCTCTTGATGATATCAATCCACAAATATGAGTTGGGCCCAAAGTCTCACTTGCAAAGATCTCCGTTCTGGCCAATGCGGTCGAAATGCTTCTCTACATTGCCAGCTTGTCTTCGCAACCTTGCAGAACCGAGCACCCTGTAATCCTAGAATCCTTCTACAACCCGTTACCAACACGTTTTTAAGGAGACCTGGCGTTTATGAGCTCAGCCGAACTTGAGAGATTCTTTATGTCTGCCAGCTTCAGGCCCGCTCGGTTCTGTCGAGCGAGACCTGAATCTGCAGTCCTGAAGACACCTTACGTCCTGCCTGTAACTCCATAAGCCCTGCCTGTAGAACCCGTAACCTCACATCACTGAACCCGAAACCTTAGCCCCCAAACCCGACACCCCAAACCCCAAACCGGGGTGACCGTGGTTGTTCCTGTTGCCCGATCTTCGTGAGGCGTTTGCAGAGCTCGGAGATTGGGAGAGCCTCGGGCCAGAACAACTGAGTTATGCTGTTGCACGCTCGAGTATTTCAGAATAGAGTATGGGATAGTTCAGTATACTATACTAAATGTGCTGACTCTACTGTGCCAGACTTGATTGCAGCAACTACTTCTGTGTGTCGCCGGCCATGACCAAGAACTGGAAGAAGGTAACAAGTGCTATATCATGGTATATTCTAGTACATGTATACAATGTACAATATAGTGTGAAGTTTGTCCTTACATTCTGGAACATAAGTTCAGAATATTTTTGATTTATTTCCATCATATATTTCTAGATGATATCGTATTGTAGTCTGTGTCCACGGTGTCGTCAATATATTATAGTATGTCATATGAGAGTTTTGATATTGTACGATCTTGTATTGCAATATGTCTCTACCCACGTTAAGTAATCAACAGTCTAGCCAAACCCTTCACACACACATATATATATATATATATATACACATATGTATGTATGTATATATATATATATATATTTATTTATTTATTTATATTTTTCTCCAGGGCTCAGATCGCCAGCAGCGGCTGGATCCACTGTTGCCCCAGTGCCTAACACGGGCACGCCTTCGATACCGTGCCGCCATCTCCTGGTTGGCACAGACGCCTGCGGAAGAAACGCTCCCAGGCCCGTCGCAGGGTGCGACGCGCAAAGGCCCTCGGCCTAGTACCGTATTCTCGAGATACTGCGGTACTGTTCCATCACCACTCGGGCCCTAGTGGGAGTGGTATGGGCAAGTCATGGAAGCAACGCGGCCACTACGACAAGGAGGCCTGGGATGGCGATGGCTATGGGCATACACCGTATGTGCCCAAGGGTTCCATTTGGAGGGGAGCCTGCTCACCACGAGCGCCGTGGAAGCGCAACGATACCGACCGTGCTCCGACCTTCCCGAGTTACACCCAGCTCAACCCCAAGGAGAATCCGACAGCAGGTCCGCCGACTTTGGACCCAGCCTTCACACCAGATGCGACCTTGTCCGAGCTCCAGAAAGCATTGACGACTGCCCGGAAGGCAGAGAACAAGGTCAGGGGCCTTCTCCAACAACGCGAAAAGAGTGCACAACAATGGGAGGCATACAAGGAGAAGTTGGAGCGCACGTTCATCCACGAACACAAGAGACATGTCGCCGACCTCGCCAAGATCCAAAAGGAGCTGGACACGGCTTTTGCCAATCAAGAGGAGGCCCGGAAAGAGATCCGATGTGTTTACAACGGCGAGCCAACGCGTCCTTCGCAGTCGGCACAGGCGGAGAAAGATGCCGCAGCCGAATGGGAGTCCATGAAGGGCTCATGGGAGAGAGCGCAGGATGTGGACATGGACGGAGTTCTCCAGAGAGCAATGGAGGACATGGAGACCCCCAAGCAGCCTGGAACGAGGACAGGATCGCACGACGCACCAGCCAAACAGCTCAGGCCAGAGTTTCTCCAACAGCTGTTTGCAGACCCTGGTGTCCGGGCTGCTTTCTGGGCCCAGACAATGGGTTATGGAGCCAATCCAGGGACGATCCCATTGTCTACGGCGGCCCCGAGTGGAGTTCCGAACTTTGGGATGCCAGCAAGGAACTTTCCAGAGGGTGCAGATACACATGGCTCTGGCTTGGGAGGGGTAGCCGAGGAGACCGGACCCCCTGGCATGATGCCCACAGACCAGCTGCGGCCAGAGACGTTGCCTGGTCCCCACCCTGGGCAACGCTTTGCTGGCCAGCCCAGGGTCCCATCCTCCGAGGCTCCTCCACGACAAGATGTCAAATCAGCTACACGCACCACTCCACAACGGAGTCAAGTCCATCGCGGTTTAGGAGAAAAGCTGGAAGAAAAGAGGTCCAAAGAAAGATTGGGCTCAGCTATGCATCCGTTTGGCATTGCGCCCGGCGACAAGGACCAGTCAGCAGCTCCACTCGCGGAGCCTCCTCCAGAGAACGACCAGGAGGAGCTCAACCATGCGACGAGGAGTCCCTCCCCGGGCTTCGGGAAGCTGGAATGACTGATACAAAGCTTCGATGGAGCCAAAGCCGGCAGGTTGAGGCAAGAGTTTGGACCCTTCTCCAACGCGAGGATGGCAGCCTTGAGAGCCCGAGTGTTCATCAGCCTCTTTGGGTGGAGGCTGGGCTCACCAAGTTGCTCCCAGGGCAATGCCTACTTCGGTTTGGAGGAACCTCCCAAACTCTTGGCCTCCCTTCGTCTCACTCTTGGCTTCTGAGAGGGCAGTTTTGTATAGAGTCTGAACGAGGCGATTTCTTGACTGGATGCCTGTCCTACTGCCTCTCTGCTACACAAGGACCTGCTTGGGGTTTGGTCGGCTCTTGTGTTACTGAGGGATATCTGCCACAGTCGATCCGTTGGTGCGTTCCTCCTGATTGTTCTTCGTCATCCTCCGGCCGTCTTAGGCTCTCCTTGGTCTCTGGAGAGTCCATGGATTGGCCCCTGCCTTGCTTAGCAGCCCACCAATCGGCTGCTTCTGCCTCCACAATTCCCTTTTGTGGATCTGTTGCTGACGGAAGAGTCCGAGCGCTTAAGAAACACATCGGTAGCTCTGGGGTGTTCGCCGGTCTCCCGTCTACACATGATCCTCCGGATCCTGCCGCCAATGCCCTGCGGGGCGATTTTGCGATGCACATTCTTCTGGCAATCGCCTCAATTTTGATTCCTTTCGCCAGGGCCCTATTCCTTGTGTTGTTTGTTGCACTCCTTCACATGCTTTTCCGGGCTCTCCCTGACAACCGTGAGCCTTTGGGCAGATGCCTCATCGCGGCCAGCACTAACACAGGCAATGGCATTGCTGTTTGCCTTGGGCTTCTTGCTCCAGGAACTAGGCCCCAACAAGAAGGGCTTCTTCCTAGAGGAACAAGGAGGCGTGGTCCACCATCATCACATGGTTACCCCGACAGCCAACCACGACCTACTGCCTGTCGTTCTTGGCTGTTTCTCCTTGGCTTCTGTTCCTTGCCACAACAGATTTGGGGTGCACCGACATGGTTGCCGATCTTGCTCAGTTGTCACTCCGCATATATCGGTGGTTCTGTGCTGGACCGCGGTACAGGGCATGCAAGTGATCCATCAGGAGAAGGGGATGCCCCACACTCCTCACCCCTCACACAAGACCAGCTCTCACCAGGCATCGCCGTGCAGCGACTGGGTATAGGTCCAACAGATCATTCTTCAGACGTTGCAGCTGCACAGGGTATGCTTCCTGTTTGCACTGACCTCGTTGAGCACGATTTTGGTTCAACACCCGCCCCCCTGCCACTTGATGATGACTGCGAGCCGCCTAGTGTCCTTGATACCAGATTCTTTTCGGTTCTTTGTCCCCAATTTCAGACCGAACTGGTTCAGATAGTCCTGCGTATCCCAGGAACCACGCTGCACGAGGTTCTCGCGGAAGTTCGAGGAGGCCTGTCAGACCTTCGACTCGAGTATGCTAGGTCCCTCACACCAACAATCCCCCAGCTCGATAAAGGCTCGGCCTCGCTTGTCCTTGGCGGCTCATGGTTGTCCACTCATGGAATGACGATTCTGGTACTTGACTTTCGACCCCTCAACGGCCCTTGCTTTGCACAGCATTTCTTTGTTGAGGGCAGATTCAGTGACCTTGTTGAGGCTGCGAACCGTCAAGGGTTTACGGAGTTTTGTGCATTTCTTTGGGGTGATTGTGTACCGATCTCTCCAGGTACCCAGTTCGAATGCATACATGGGGGGGTAGTCCAGTTCCGCCCCCCTGGGACTGAGCCGATCTGGTTCGACAGTCTCGAGCAGCGCTTGTGCTCGAGCACCTTCTGGGGGCGTCCCACTTTTGAACAGCAAGAACACCCTTTGCCCCTTCTTGCAATTGGAGACACTGCTTTGAACCAGTCCAGATTCACTGCGCCTCACGACAGTCCAGAGCAAGCTGCTGCGGATGCTCTCACACAGCCAGTGTCCTCGCTCACTTTTGCCCGCCCTGCCAAGCGTCATTTCAGTAATCTCAATTGGCACGGCAAACATTGTCAGGATCTTCTGGCCATTCAGCGTGCACCGCCTCCCGGCCCAGGACAGGTTGAAGATTGCTTTGTCTTCCTAGATGGCAGACAAGTTGGGTATGAGCCGACTTTCGTGTGGCTCCATAACCCGGTTGCTAACTTGAGCCACCTTGCTCGCTTCACTGGCATCCATCGGATCCCCAATGGATACCATCTTTCCGTTGCTTCTGCTGTCCCAGACGTACAGGAGAACTGCATCAGAGTCCGGCCCGGGGATACAATCACCTTCGGGTTCCGTAATGAAGATGAATCTGACCAGAGCCGCCGTTCGGATGCTGATGACTCATTGCCGGACTCTGCCGCTTCTTCGGATGCTTCGACACTTCTCCCTGATACGCCAGGCACTGACCTTGGACCCCCCACCTCGCCCGAGCCTGACTCAGGAGATAGAGACCGTAGCAGGTCCAGGGAGACACGGCAGCAGACAGGCACTTCTGTCCCTGGGGACACCAACCGGCCTGTGCAAACCTGTTCGGCTGTGCACAGCCCCTCTCATAGGACAGAGTACCCTCATGACCTTGATTTGGTTAAGGGTCCCCCGACCTTTCGGCCCGACACCTCTAGTCCGGTTCCCCACAGATCCACCGAACAGGAGGCCTCCACCTTCGACGATGCTCTCATGCGCACCTGCAAAATGTCCCCGGGACCTACTCTTCAGCAGAGACTCGTTGAGGCCTCCGCCAACGGGAATCACCTACAGGATGCCCTTGATGGGATTGGGGACACAGTTGACCCCACTCTGCCTCAATTTCAGGTACCAGCGCCAGACCTTGACTTTGCCCCAACAGAGGAAGGAGCCGAAAGTGAGGAGGCTCCCCCAGATGCACATTTCATTGTGCTCATACCGGATTGTTTGCCGGAGCAAGTTTCGGTTTCCATCGAAGAGGGGCTCAGTGTACAAGACGTTTTGGCACTGGCATCAGACGAACTTGATGACAGCCGTTTCCTCCTCTTCCCA